CTCCTTGTAGATGAAAATCAGAAACCTTTTAAAGAAATTCTTTTTTATCTTTAGGACCCTAAAGAAAGTGTTCTCTCATCTGATTTGTTAACTGAAAGAGAGAGAGATGGTAGAAAAAGTATAATTTTGCCTGTTAGTCTATAATAATTGTGTCCTAATAGAAAATATGTATTTTAGACTTAATATGTGTGTTTTAATTAGACTTTCAGCACCTTTTTTAAAAGCTGAAATCATCATTAGTGTGAGAACTGCCTATATATTTGCGTGGGAGTTCCGAGTGTGCTAGGTCTTGATTTGGTGTTTTGAATATGATGATGCTTACTGTGTTTTATTGTGAGGATTACAGATAATGACTGCAAGGCGTGTACAAAAAGTGGCTGCTCAGTAAATACTCCCATCTAAAATACCTTTTTCAGCAAGACTTGGTGGACCAGACAGACTGGAAGGAGGCAGAATTTGGAGACAGAAAGGGTTTGGTGGATGTTGAGAGTCTGTGCATACCAGGGCTCACTGCTGCAAGATGGTTCATCTAGAAGGGGGAGCACAGGAATCGCAAGTCCAGATAGATTTGACAAGGGCTCAAGTCTAAGTCCTGAAGAACAGCCCAAGCAAAAGAGATCAGGTAGGAATCTGGGGCCATTTAAGCGGCACAGAGTCAAGCCCCAGCTGCCTCCAAGAGCCAGTGCTTGGAACTGGCTGTAGGACTGGTCCTGGGGCAATGACTGCTAGCCTTGTGGCTTTCTTTTTTTAACCAGCCCCACTGCACTCCAGTATTTTAAAATTCTAGACATAATCTGGAATTTAATCTGAAAGTATTTCAGTATTATATATAACTTTATTATACTGTTACTTTGGGTAACTTACCATATGAATTTTACAAGCAGATTATTAAAAATCTCCCACAGTTTCAAAAGACTATTTTTGGATGTAATCTGTATAAGGTGTTTATACTCCTCATAAGGTTTGAAAATACAAAATAGCGGCCTAGATTTTGCTGTCAAAATATTTGGTTTTGGGGCCAGCCCCGTGGCCGAGTGGTTAAGTTCGTGCACTCTGCTTCGGCAGCCCAGGGTTTGGCCATTTCGGATCCTGGACGCGGACATGGCACTGCTCATCAAGCCATGCTGAGGCGGCATCCCACATGCTACAACTGGAAGGACCCACAGCTAAAAATACACAACTATGTACCAGGGGGCTTTGGGGAGAAAAAGGAAAAAAATAAAATCTTTAAAAAAAAAAAAATTGGTTTTATTGTAATCCTTTTCACTGAATCACATTTTATGAAAATTTTATCTAAATTTATCTTTAGATATCTTAAATTCTGCTATTATTTCTTTCTTTTGGTGTTAGAGCCCACCAGTTTCTGTAAAGAATAAATTAAGAATATTCTATGAAATGGTCAGAGCAACTGGGTTCCAAAAGAAATTAGGATTCATTGTCTCACCTTTTTGATTGGCAGTGGAAAACTAGGCATTTTATGAATTGAAATCCTTGAGATTTGATGGATTTATTTCCGCAGTCTTCATTAAAAAGCTGAACATGTGGGTCTTTTTTTCTCTGTCCTGATTTTCAATTATGTTGAGATTCCTTTGGATGATTTTCCCATATAATTAATAATTAAGTGGCATGATTATACTTTTTCATATACTTTTTAAAAACGTGTTAGTGTATTGAAATTTTGTATACGTTCAGACCTTTTTCTTTGCTGAAAAATTTTGACTCAACCAAGATTTCAAATATCAAAAAATATACTAAAAGGGACTTTTTGGTTAGTTTCAGTGGTATTTTTTGTAGACATGTTTAGGGAAGAAAATTATATATCTGTATCCACAAGACTTTATAAGCACTAAATATAAGAGAGTGCCAATTGCTAATTTCGGGAGATTACTAAGGTTCTAGTAATATTGCCACAAAATCCCATGTTTACTGAAGAATTGCAGTATGTATAGCAAAACTTCAGAGAGGAGAGACTATTTAATGCCGAAGTTAGTGTTACTATATCTGATAGGAATTGTATACCACAGTGCTTCTCAAACTCTGATATCAAGACCCCTTTACATCCTTAAATTATTCAGGACCCCAAAGAGCCTTTCTTTGTATCGGTTGTATCAAGTATATGAAGAAAATCTGGCCTCATACATACTTGGAGCTGGAAAAAGAAAGATATTTTAATAACCTTTTCAAATAATTATGGACATTCTTTGTTACTACACTAAAACACTAGAAGTGGTAATCTCTTAAAAGTTAGTTATAATGTGAAATCTGAAACCACAACCATGAACTTTTCTTCTTTCTTTTTTTCTTTTCTTTTTTTGCTGAGGAAGATTTGCCCTGAGCTAACATGTGTGCCATTCTTTCTCAATTTTGTATGTGGGTAGCCGCCACAGCATGGCTGCCGATGAGTGGTGTAGGTCAATGCCCAGGAACTGAACCTGGGCCACTGAAGCAGAGCATGCTGAACTTAACCACTAGGCCACAGGGCTGGCCCCAACAATGAACTTTTCATACTCAAGTTATTGTTCCTTCTTGCACCTTTGATCCTTTACCCAGGGATGACTTTGTAACATCACCATGTAATATTTGGAAAATATTGGTTCCCTCAGTTGTGCAGATCTTCTAAATGTACACATTTCATTATACAATATCAAAGAATCATGTATGTAAACGTCACTACTGATCTCATCAGGAGAGTCTTGAGTGAGTAGCGAAGCTGTCAAGTTGACAGTGGTGGGTACAAGTTTTTTCAAAATTTTATTTTTGCTTGAAAACTCAAATTTTATCATTGACAACACACATCATTTGCTTTCCTTGAAGTGACAGGCTTCATGCATTTTCAAGAAAATGTATACTGGATACCCAAATCTGTTTAAATGTCTAGTTCAACTTGTTACTCAAGTAATTGTACAAATGCTTTTCCTTGAGATAACTGTCATACTTCAGTGTGCACAGAGAAGTGCTTTGTGTGTACGTCCTATTTCTTTACACAGAATATTAGACCTAGTCTTAAGGGTTGAGATTTCATAATATTAATCATTTTTACTGCATCAGGGACATTCTTTGGTAAACTTAGCTTTTTTCTTCTTTCTTTCTGTGAGTGTAGTAGTGAAGAACTAGTTTGGTGCCACTGTCCTGATTCATGCTAAGACATTAGCAGTTTTAATTATCAGCACTTTTGCATCATCAGTGAGAACTAATGATAAAACTTTAGCAACCTGAAGGAAGACATTTTCTCATTGACAATCAATGGGGGAATGCAGTTTTATTGTGGTAGAGAAATTCAACAAAACGCTCCTATAAAAAACCTATATTTGGATTCTTACCGGCAACCAGAAGTCTTAAAATGTGGAAGTGTCTTATGTAGATGTTTTTGTTGACTTAATAGGGGAAGTCAGAGATTTGACCTCATAGCCCACAATTACCGGTCCCTTGGTCTTACAGAGCTGTTCAAGAGTAGCTAATGGTTGGAGGACTTACACTTCTCAATTTCAAAACTTACTAAAAAGTTGCAGTAATCAAAACAATGTGATACTAGTGTAAGGATAGACATGGGGATCAATGGAATAGAACTGAGAATCCAGAAATAAACCTTCACATTTACATCATTTGATTTTTGACAATGGTGCCAAGACATTTCAATGGGGAAAGTAGTCTTTTCTACAAATGGTCCTGGAACAACTAGATAGCCATATGCAAAAGAATGAAGGTAGGCCTCTTCCTCACACCATGCATAAAAATTAACTCAAAATGAATCATAGATCTAAACATGAGAGCTAAAACCATAAAACGGTTGTAGAAGAAAATATAGGTAAATCTTCATGTCCCTGGATTAGGCAAAGTCACCTTAGATAAGACATCAAAAGTAAAAGAAAGTAATTTGGACTTCTTCGAAATTAAAACTTTTTGTCCTTCAAAGGACATCATTAAGAAAGTGAAAAGACCAACCAACAAGTAGGAGAAAAATGTGGAAATCATATCTGATAAGTGACGTATCTAGAATATAAAAAGAACTCTTACAACTTAAGAAAGCAGTGACCCCATTACATGGTGGGCAAGGAGTCTGCAGAGACGCTTCTCCAAAAAAGGTATACAGTGGTCAGTAATCATGTGAAAAGGAGCGCAACATAATTAACCATCAGGGACATGCAAGTCAAAACTAGTGAGATACTACTTTACACCAATTGGAGGGCATAAAAAAGACAGTTAACAAGTATTGGTCAGCATGTAGAGAAATTGGAACCTTCGTACATTGCTGTTCAGAGTATAAAATGGTGCAGGCTCTTTGGAAAACAGTCTGGTGGTTCCTCAAAAAGTTGAAAAGAGTTACCATATGACCAACAATTCCTCACCTAGGTATACACTCAAGAGAAATATGTCTGTGCAAAAATTTAAATGAATGTTCATAGCATTATTCGTAACAGCCAAAGAAAATGGAAACAACCCATATGTCCAGCAATTGATGAATGGACAAAATATGGTATGTCCATATAATGGAATATTATTCAGCAATAAAAGGGAATGAAGTATTGATACATGCTACCATATGGATGAACCTTGAGAGCATTGAAAGAAACTGGACACTAAGGCCACATACTCTCTGATTCCATTTATATGAAATGTCCAGAACAGACACATACATAGAGACAGATTAGTGGCTGCCTTGGGCTGGGGAGTAGATGGATAATGATTACTAATGGGTTTCTTGTTGGGGAGATGAAGACATTCTAAAATTAGATTGTTGTGACACAGTTACACAACTGAATACATTAAAAACCATTGAACTGTGCACTTTAAATGGATAAATTGTATGTGAATTCTATCTCAGTGAAGCTATTTGAAAAATAGAATAACTGATGGCTGTGAGGTTGCCAAGCAACATACCTTAAACTTGGAATTTCTATTAGGAAAAAATTATATGTATCCTGATTAAATACTGAAGTCTGTATTCCTATTTTGCTAGTGTAAAAAGAAAATGACCAAATTCCCTCCTCTTTACTTTTCAGAAAGGAGAAGATGAGTATGCCAATGTTGATGCTATTGTTGTATCAGTGGGTGTTGATGAAGAAATTGTTTATGCCAAATCAACTGCCTTACAGGTGAGAGGTTTCCAGCAGTTTTTAGCCCTGAGAGTGATTGAATCATGTATGGCACTGTCCAATATGGTAGCCACCAGCCACATTAAAAATTTAATTCCTCATTCAAAAGTCTCACGTACTCAATAGTGGCTACCATATTAGAGTAGATATGGAATATTTCCATCATCACAAAAAGTTCAGTGGACAGCACTGATTTAGACCATAGGAAAAAAAGTATCTGAATTGAGAAGGATTTAACTATATGCAACAGAAAAGCCTAAATAACAGTGGGTTTAACAGAATATTTCTTCTTTTAGATAGACATCAGGGACCCAGGTTTTTTCCATCCATAGAGTATTGCTCTTGTGCTCATGGTGCAAAAATTGCTAGAGCTCCAGCCATTATATCTACGTTCCAAGCAAAAAGAATAGAGAAAGAGAAGCAAATGGAAAAGGTCCCACAGAATACTTCTACTTATAACTTACTGGCCAAAATTTAATGTAATGGCCATATTTAGCCACAAGAGCAGATGGGAATTAAAGTCCTCATGCCAAGCAGTGTGCCCAGCTAAAAATCCTGAGTCGTTTGGAGAGAAAAGAAATGAATAATTGGTAGGCAACTAACCCCCACTGAGGGAGATAGAATTAGAATGCACGGTTCCCGGAGGTGCTACTCTGTCCCTTGTTTTATGCATTTCTATCCTTCTAAATAATAATATAGTTCTGGTAAACACAAATTATCCAAATGATTTGATGTTTATTGTGGAATATTTCAAACATGTGAAAGTAAATAAAATAATGTATTGAACTCCCATTTACCCATTATCCAATAAATTGGTAACTCCTGGCCAGTCTCATTTCATTTGTATCCACCTCCAGGCTCCCCAACCCTAGATTACTTTTAAGTTAATCCCAGATATCTTGTTTTATAGATATTTCTGTATAAGTGCACTAATTTTTTTTTATCTGTAAATAACTGTTGTCACTATTGTCTTTTCCCACAGACATGGCTCTTTGGTTACGAACTGACTGACACTATCATGGTCTTCTGTGATGACAAAATCATCTTTATGGCCAGCAAGAAAAAAGTAGAGTTCTTAAAACAGATTGCCAACACTAAGGGCAATGAGAATGCTAATGGAGCCCCTGCCATCACACTGCTGATACGAGAAAAGGTCAGAACTAAGAAAGAATGTGTCATAAATGTGAGAGGATGTTTAAAAGTGATAAACAGAAATGCCTTCTAGGAATTTAAAAGAATACAAAGGAAAGATTTTAGCTGACTGTGGTTGTAATTACGTAGTTCTGTCACATCTTCATTGTTTGTGAGGAAGAAAAGAGTTCAATAACCCTGTCAGTTCAGCAGCAAAACAAATGGGCTGTGAAATTCTGGTGAACACTAACTTTGCCCTTCTTGAGGACACTGTCAACTTGTTTGTTTTCATCTGAGTACCTTAATTAGAACAAATAACCTTACATATCCTTAAGAAAACTTAGATATACCTCAGTTTCAGTTTTTATCAAATGCAGTCTTTGTCATACTGCCCACCTGACAAAGACTTTTTCTCAGAATGTTGTTCACGTATGCATTTGAGTTTCTTAGCTGTTCCTTAAGAAAAAGAATAGTCTTGTCAACTTATATGGCACTTCACCTAAGTATTTAAAAGTATCTGAAGAAATTTTGTGTTAACTTTGGTGTGTTACAATCTGCCCTAAAGAAGTAAGTAGGGCATGGGGAGAGAATTTATTCTTTCCACAGTTTAGAGAATTCATCTCTGCCCGTTACTAGTAGAACATAAATGTCTAATTCTACAACTAATTACAAACTCTGTTTCTTCCCTGTGGCACTGACAGAATGAAAGTAATAAGAGCAGCTTTGACAAAATGATTGAAGCCATTAAAGAAAGCAAGAACGGCAAGAAGATTGGAGTGTTCAGCAAAGACAAATTCCCTGGAGAGTTCATGAAGAGCTGGAACGACTGCCTCAACAAAGAGGGCTTTGACAAAGTAAGAATTCTCCCGGAAACAAGCAAATTGAGAGTTGAGAAGACAAAAGCGTGACAGGCTTCCATAACAGATAGTACAGAGAATTTGTTTTGAGAAAACTATATGTTCGTTCACATTTCCATTTTTCATTGCCTTTGGCTGAGCGGTCAGCCGGTTTGCTTTTCACTCAGGAATGAGAATTTCAGAAGATAGTTCAGCGACTTCAGAGGGAAATTGTTTCTCAGATTCTTGGCCAAACAATATTTTTCTTTCTTTTTTTCTTCTGTTGTCCTGCCTATCTTTCTTCTAAATCCTTTGCAAAAACCTCTAGAGAGGGGCATTTGCATTTTAAATGGTACATTAGTTCAGTGCCTCTTAGAATACACACAATGACCTAGTAAAGAGCTATTCCAAAGGTTTATTCAATCCAAGAAGAGAATATTTAGATATTCTGCAAACTACTGGTGAATAGTTTGCTAAATAATTAAGTACCATCACTAATAATATTCAGATTGAGAGAGATGCATTTCTTTAGCAATTCTATATTTGCATGCTGGAAACTTGTATCACTTTGACTGCAGATAGATATCAGTGCAGTTGTGGCCTATACCATTGCTGTGAAGGAGGATGGGGAGCTCAACCTAATGAAGAAAGCAGCCAGCATCACCTCTGAGGTCTTCAACAAATTCTTCAAGGAAAGAGTGATGGAAATAGTTGATGCAGATGAGGTAAATGAAGAGGGGAAAGGCTTGTTGGTGTTTTAATGAAGCAGAAATAAGTCCCTACGGTGCAGTGTTTTGGTATGTTCTGCTTCCTTTGAAATTAAGCCTTTGATACTTAAATTGGTGGTATATAATTGTGCCAGCTCTCTTTCAAAATAACTGTAAACCTACACTATAGTTTCTTGAGGTTACCCAGTATTTTACTTGAGAATTCCTTAATAGCTGTGAATTCCACATATTGTTCTCTAAATTTGCTTTGCATGTGTACCAGTATATTATCTGGTGCATAAACCATTTCATGGGCTGGCCTGATGGCATAGTGGGTAAGTTCGCATGCTGTGCTTCAGCAGCCCGGGGTTTGCGGGTTTAGATCCCAGGCACAGACCTACACACTGCTCATCAAGCCATGCTGTGGTGGCATCCCACATAGAAAATAGAGGAAGATTGGCACAAATGTCAGCTCAGGGCCAATCTTCCTCACCAAAAAACAAAAAAAGGATAAGGATTAAATGAAATTAAAAAAAAAAAACTTCCATAGCATCCTAAATGATCTCAAGGTGTATGTTGTCTTCAAATGATAACATCCAAAAACCCAACACCCCTCTTTGCCACTCTCTAGTGAATATTTTGTTTCTGGGTACGCTTACAGAAAGTTCGACACAGCAAACTGGCTGAATCTGTGGAAAAGGCCATTGAAGAGAAAAAATACCTAGCTGGGGCAGACCCTTCTACTGTGGAAATGTGTTACCCTCCCATTATTCAGAGTGGTGGCAATTATAATCTCAAGTTTAGTGTGGTGAGGTAAGTATGAGAACTTCAAAATAAAACAAAAGCCAGACCATTTCAACCAGTAGCCTATTTTTTTTCTTTAACTCATTCCAGAATTCAGAAAAGTAAGAGGAGGCAGTAACTATTAGCCTGCCTTCCACATTATCTTCTTGTCTTATTCTGTGCATATTTCTGTTTTATTTCACAGTTATTCATTTCTTAAGCATTTGATTATAAGCATTTTTCAAGATTAAAAATACCAGAGAAAAATGCAGAGCATTTTGCAAAAGCCATTAAAATCTTATTAGGTGTACCATAATGTAATTTCTCTTCTAATTTTTAAAAATACTGTAAAGACTGCTGTTTTTCCTGGTCAGTCTGAAGGAAGGAATTCCTAGCGAATACTGTAATTGATAGTGGACTGGTGGATGAGTGACTCCTCACCACCTTACTGTTATACTACAGTTGATAAAATTCAGTATATCCTTCGCATATTTAGGATACAACTCAACTTTCACTGAATTTTTATCCTAAAAGTTTTGGCCCCTGATTTTACCGCAGAGCCTTTATTAACTGATTAGTTTATTTAAAGAAGGAAGAGTTTGGGTCCTTACTCTGCTTCAGCTGTGGATACAGCAGGGAGAGGTGGTGATTACAGATGCTGTGTGCCAGTGATACGAAGGGCTTTGCTAGTTTGGGTAATGAAATGCTTTCTTCCTTTGGTCTCTAGTGACAAGAATCACATGCATTTTGGGGCCATCACTTGTGCCATGGGTATTCGCTTCAAATCTTACTGCTCCAACCTTGTTCGCACTTTGATGGTTGACCCTTCTCAGGAAGTTCAAGAAAATTACAACTTTTTGCTCCAGCTTCAAGAGGAGCTGCTAAAGGAATTAAGACATGGTGAGGTGCCTTAGAAAAGAATGTTTGGAAATTTTGTAACAAAAATGTCTTCAGTGTTTATGTGAGTTTATATCCCTGAGATTCTTGTATTAAAAATAGAATTAGATTTTACTAACCTTGAATCATCCTAGCATTTGGTTCTTGAATCTCCTTTTCTTTTAGCATAAGTAGTTATTGTGGTTTTACATTGATATTTACAAAAACTTCTCTGGGGCCGGGCCTCATGGCACAGTGGTTAAGTTCGGCGCACTCTGCTTCAGCAGCCCAGGTTTGATTCCCAGGTGCAGGCCTACACCACTCCTCAGTGGCCATGCTGTGGTGGCATCCCACATAGAAAATACAGGAAGGTTGGTGCAGATGTTAGCTCAGGGCAAATCTTCCTCTGCAGAAAAAAAAACAAAAAAACAAAAACTTCTCTGATGGGTTAGGTCTCTGTGTCCACAGCTTCATAAAATACCATGGCCATATTATTCTTCTTTAAAACTTTAGAAAGTTCTTTTTCTTTTTATTTTTTTATTGACATACAATTTAACATACAACTTTATATTAGTTTCAGGTGTACAACATAATGATTTCATATTTGTATATATTGTGAAATGATCACCACAGTAAGTCTAGTTAACGTTCGTCACCATACATAAAGAATTTTTTTTCTTGTGATGAGAACTTTTAAGATCTACTCTCTTAGCAACTTTCAAATATGAAATAGAGTATTATTAACTATAGTTGCCATGCTGTACATTACATCCTCAGGACTTAATTTATTTTATAACTGGAAGTTTGTACCTTTTGACTCCTTCATCCATTTCACCCTTATTCCCCACCTCTTGCAACCGGTAGTCTGTTCTCTGTATCTATGAGCTTGTTTTTAGGGTTTTTTATTCCAAATATTAGTAAGATCATATAGTATATGTCTTTCTCTGACTTGTTTTACGTAGCATAGTGCCCTCAAGTTCCATCCATGTTGTTTCAAATGGCAAGATTTCATTCTTTTTATGACTGAATAATATTCTATTGTATATATATATATACACACCACATCTTCTTTATCCATTCTTGAGTTCAGAGGCACTTGGGTTGCTTCATTATCTTGGCTGTTTTAAATAATGCTGCAATGAACGTGGTGGGGATATATCTTTTCAAGTTAGTGTTTTTGTTTTCTTTGGATAAATACCTAAAAGTAGAATTGCTGGATCATATGGTAGTTCTATTTTTAATTTTTTGAGGAACCTCCATACTGTTTTCCATAGTGGCTGTACCATTTTACATTCCTACCAAGAGTGCACATAGGTTCCCTTTTCACCACATCCTTACCAACACTTGTTATTTCTTGTCTTTTTGATAATAGCCATTCTAACAGGTATAAGGTGACATCTCATTGTGGTTTTGATTTGCATTTCCCTTATGGTCAGTGATGTTGAGCCTCTTTTCATGTACCTGTTGGACATTTGTATGTTTTTGAAAAAATGTCAGATCCTCTGCCCATTTTTTAATCTAATTATTTTTTTGCTATTGAGTTATGAATTCTTTGTGTGTTTTGGATATTAACCCCTTCTCAAATATGTGACTTAAAAATATTTTCTCCCATTCAGTTGGTTGCCTTTTCATTTTGTTGATGGTTTCTCCTTTGCTCTGTAGAAGCTTTTTAGTTTGATATAGTCCCATTTGTTTATTTTTGCTTTTGTTACCTTTGCTTTTGGTGTCAAATCCAAAAAATGATCACCAAGGCTGATATCAAAGAGCTTACCACCTGTATTTTCTTCTAGGAGTTTTATGGTTTCAGGTCTTCTTTCTCCATTGTGTGTTCTCAGCTCCTTTGTTGTAAGTTAATTAACCATATATGCGTGGGTTTATTTCTGGGCTCTTTATTCTGCTGCACTGATCTGTGTGTCTGTCTTTATGCTAACACCATACTGTTTTGACTACTATAACTTTGTAATATAGTTTAAAGTGAGGGAGCATGATGCCTCTGGCTCTCTTCTTTCTCAAGATTGCTTTGCTTGTAGAGTCTTTTGTGATTTCATACAAGTTTTAGGATTGTTCTATTTCTGTGAAATATGCCATTGGAATTTTGATAGGGATTGCATTGAATCTGGAGATTGCTTTGAGTATTATGGACATTTTAACAATATTAATACTTGCAATCCATGAGCATGGAATATCTTTCCATTTATTTGTATTTCCTTCAGTCTCTTAGCAGTGTCTTAACGTTTTCAGTGTACAGACCTTTCACCTCCTTGGTTAAATTTACTCCTAATAAGTCTTTTATCTTTTTGATGCAGTTGTAAATGGGATTTTTCTTTTATTTCTCATTTGGATAGTTTGTTGTTAGCCTATAGATGCAACAGATTTCTGTATATTGATTTTGTATCCTGCAACTTTATTGCATTCATTTACAGTTGGCCCTCTGTATCTGTGGATACAGAACCCGTGGATACAGAGGGCTAATAACTAAGGGACTTGAGTATTGTGGATTTTGGTATCTGCAGGAGGGCCTGGAACCGTGGATGCTGAGGAACAACTATATTAGTTCTAACAGTTTTTTGAGTTTTCTATATATAGTATCCTATCATCTGCAAATAGTGACAGTTTTACTTCTTTCTTTCCAATTTGGATGCCTTTTTCTTGCCTAATTGCTCTGGCTAAGACTTCCAATACTATGTTGAATAAAAGTGGGGAGAGTGGGCATTCTTGTCTTGTTCGTGATCCAGAGGAAAAGCTTTTTGCTATTGAGTATGATGTTAGCTGTGGGCTTGTAATATATGGCCTTTATTATGTTGAGGTCTGTTCCCTCTCTACCCATTTTGTTGAGAGTTTTTGTCATAAATGGATGTGGATTTTTGTCAAATGCGTTTTCTCTATCGAGAGGATTATATGATTTTTCTCCTTCATTTTGTGTCGTATCACATTGATTGATTTGCAGATGTTGAACCGTCCTTGCATCCCTGGACTAAATCCCACTTGATCACAGTCTATGATCCTTTTAATGTATTGTTGAATTCAGAAGAACTGTAGGATGTTCTGAGAAGTAGTTTCTCTACCAACAGAATGTGTAATGTTAATCCTACATTGTATGGATACCAAGAATCTTAATGTGAGAGCAGAACTAGTAAGAACCCTGCTAAGCAAGCCACTGCCTACCTCCAAAGAAAGCAAAGTGCTTGATACCTCTTTTGCCTTAACACTCTACACCCCAATTGGCTAAATGGAACTTTATGTTTACCACCTTTAAACCACTTTGTAAGCTCACCCATGTTGCCCAGAGCTTCCAGACGCCATTCCTGTATAATATCTCAAGTTCATCTTGTGAAATCCTGTCTTGGAAATCGTGGTCATAGGTAGTTTAATGAGGATAAAGACCCCTCTGAGGCTACCATATTTGGACTACTCTGACTTGAAATATTTATTCATATCCTAGATCCTGAAAAATTTAGGCCAGAGCCCTTCTAACATTAATTCATCTGGTCAATAATCCAGTTTTTCAAAATGTATGATAACTTTAATATGAAGTCATTTATCAACACTTAGAAAATTATGTCACTGAGACCAGCTGGTGTCCCACAGTACCCCTGAGTCAGTGATTCTCAAACAGTGTAATTAAGAATGACTGGGTTTAGGCTGGCCTAGTGGCACAGTGGTTAAGTGTGCACGTTCAGCTTTGGTGGCCTAGGGTTCGCTGGTTCACATCCCGGGTTCGGACATGGCACCGCTTGGCAAGCCATGCTGTGGTAGGCATCCCACATATAAAGTGGAGGAAGATGGGCATGGATGTTAGCTCAGGGCCAGTCTTCCTCAGCAAAAAAAAGAGGAGGATTGGCAACAGATGTTAGCTCAGGGCTAATCTTCCTCAAAAAAACACAAGAATGACTGGGTGGAGTGTTTTAAAAATGCAAATTTCTGAGCCCTACCACTCCTGCAACTGCATTTCTTAGTTCACATTTTAAGAAACGCTGCTTTAGGAGACCTAATAGATGACAAAAAGTGTTTTTTTCTGAAAGATCCTTTAATGTCCCCTTTCTGTCTTGTCATTAGGTGTGAAGATATGTGACGTGTACAATGCTGTCATGGATGTGGTTAAAAAGCAGAAGCCAGAGCTGCTGAACAAAATTACCAAAAACCTAGGGTAAGATACTATATGTGCATTGTCCTCAGAGTCAGTTTTCATGACTGGCAGTGGTTAGACAAAATATTCTTAGATTGATTCAACCCACATTTATGGACTATTAAATTTAACTGTGTGCCAAACACACAGTGTGATCAGAGAATGTGAGAAAGATTTAAGTTCTACTTCCAGGGATGGGATGGAGATTTTTTTAGACCAGTGTAGTAGATGCCAGTAGATGTTCCAGGTTTAAATTAGAAATATTAGGAAATATTACATACTATATTTCCTCTCTTAGAACACTTCAGCTCACTTTTGCAAATGAAATACTCTGAGATGTCGTAGTCTTTAAAAATTTTTTTGAATTTTTGTTTAATCCAGTGTTTCTCAAATGTTTGACCGTTGAACATCTAGAAACACCTAATAACATCTTACAGAAGCAAAGACATTTTGCAAAACAAAAGCTCTAGGCAGTCTCCTTAGATGGAAACTAGTCTGGAGTATATAGTTTTTTCCTGGACTTTTCTGATGTACAAGAGGAAATATATTGACCTATACTGAGTCTTGGCCCAGGTGACTTAATGAATATAGTGATTAGCATTCCACTAAAAATTGCCTGTCAATCCAGTTACTACCGTCTTGGTAATGTGCCCCTTAACAGTCTCTGCTAAATTCTTTATAGGAGACTTGTAACAATTTCATGGTAAAATTTAAAATCTAAATGTGGATGAATAAGCTAAAATAAGAAAGGCTTGGTTTAATAAATGTTACATGAGGTACTTAATTAGGAAACTATTTTCCACCTATTAAGAGCCCAAAGACTATCCTCAAATCCTCTTCCTTAACTCACCGATCAGCAGGGGCAAATCACTCAACATGTTTGTCAGCCTTATCTTGAAACTTGGAATAGAATATATTGTACTTGACCCATAATTAGAGATCCTTTAGCCTATTGCTGAAGTTTCTCTTCATTTCTTTTTTAGGTTTGGAATGGGAATTGAATTCCGTGAAGGCTCTTTAGTAATTAATAGTAAAAATCAATACAAACTGAAGAAAGGTAAGTTTTACGTGCATGTAACAGGAAAATACTTTTTTGAATAGTTGCGTTTAGCTTCATCTCCCCGGTTTTTGTATGAAATCTACACTTCTCCATCCTTTCACAGTCAGAGGCTGATTCCTGTTTTGCTGTTTTAGGGATGGTTTTCAGCATCAACCTGGGATTCTCAGAGCTGACTAACAAGGAAGGGAAGAAACCAGAAGAGAAAACCTATGCCTTGTTCATTGGTGACACAGTGCTTGTGGATGAGGTGTGTATCGCTTCTTAAACTTTTAAGTGTTCATAAACTCACTTTTGAGGCACATTTTGTACCCTGTGGTTTTTTCTTAAAAGTCTCTGTTAAATGCTAGCTACAGGGAGAAAGCCATGTGACAGCCAGGCCTGACGCAGCTAAGAATAGAGATTGTGGTCCAAGTAGGGAATGATTTAAACCCCACTGCTTATCACACTGTGGCTTGAACCTTGATAATGATAATATCAGGAACTGATTCTAATAATGGAACTGATTTTTTTTCGTAACAGCTTTATTGAGCTACGATTTACATACCATACACTTCACCCACTTAAAGTGTACTGTGTAATGATTTTTAGTGTACTAATAGTTGTGCACCCGTCACCACAATCTAATTTTAGAACATTTTCATCACCTCAGAAAGAAACCCTATACTCATCAGCAGTTACTCCCCACTTCCCCCCTCAAGTCCCCAGGCCTAGGCAATGACTGAACTACTTTCTGTCTCTAAGGATTTACCTATTCTGGACATTTGTGGTCTTTTGTCACTAGTTTCTTTCAGTTAGCAGGAAATGAATTTTGATAATAATAATAACAGATATTTCAGTGTTCTTATTATAAGCTAAACTCTTTTATGCACTAATTTATTGAATCCTTACAATAACCCTATGAAGTAGATACTCTTATCCTCATGTGTACAGAAAAAGAAACTGAGGCACAGACAAGTTTAAGTAACTTAGCAAATATCACATGGCTAGAAAGTGATTGCACAGGTTTCAAATCAAGCCAGTATTCTTAATCATTATCCCACTGTTGCTTCCCAAATTATACAGTCATACGCTGCATAACAACATTTTGGTAAACATCAGGTCGCATATACAACAGTGATCCCATAAGATTGGTACTAGATAGCCTAGTTGTGTAGTGGGCTAGACCTTCTAGGTTTGTCTAAGTACACTCCGTGATGTTCACACAATGACAAAATCACCTAACAGGCACATTTCTCAGAACATCCTCATCACTAAGCGACACAGTAGTTCCTAATGAGAAGTTGGGAGGATAAAAACTGTACTTATTCATTGCTAAAGATTTTCGTAGCCAGAAGGTTCAAAGCATCGCCCAGCTATATACTGGGTTAGAAAGTGAAAGTGTTTCATTTAAATGATCTTATAGATGTCTGGCTTCTCCCTTTTATTCTAGGATGGCCCAGCCACTGTTCTTACTTCTGTGAAGAAGAAAGTGAAGAATGTGGGGATTTTTCTAAAGGTAGGAATAAGATGAATGCGTGGTATACGAAGTCTGGTACAGTGAAGATAAACAATATTGGCTAAAAAAATTAAAACCTGAATTTCTGATTATGATTTTTCCCCCATAGAATGAAGATGAGGAAGAAGAGGAGGAGGAGAAAGACGAGGCTGAGGACCTGTTGGGAAGAGGTTCTCGGGCAGCATTACTTACAGAAAGAACACGAGTGAGTTTACTGTTTTTACTGCAGTGATCTTGTCTCTGTCATATGTGTCACATATTCTGATAACTTAGGTTTTCCCTTCTCTAGAATGAGATGACGGCGGAAGAGAAGCGAAGAGCTCATCAAAAAGAACTGGCAGCTCAGCTCAACGAGGAAGCAAAGAGGCGATTGACTGAACAGAAAGGAGAGCAGCAGATTCAGAAGTAAGAGTTTGCATGGAGCAGTGAGATTGTCTCAGGGTTCTGTGTGATTTGCAGAAATTTCTCAAAAAAATGTTTTATTCCCACTCCAGAGCTCGCAAATCTAATGTGTCATATAAAAACCCATCTTTGATGCCTAAGGAGCCACATATTCGGGAAATGAAGATCTATATTGATAAGAAATATGAGACCGTAATAATGCCTGTGTTTGGCATTGCGACACCTTTTCACATTGCCACAATCAAGGTATGAACATTGAATCAGCTTCCATTCAAACTATTTCTTAAAATATTAATTGTGCTTACCATGGATTGTTCTCTTTGCATCATCTCTCCCACTCTCTGCTCCTTCAGGCTCTACCTTCTCTCTTCACTGACTTCCCCCGCTCTCCCTTACCTCTTGCTATCATGCTCCTTCCTTTTCCAGTTTTTTATAGAAAGTTAAATGATGTAGTCTACAGACATAATTTGCCTGTCTTTCCTCGACCTGTATTTTTTAACCTGTAGTTGTACATATGGCAGAAGGTACTTGGCAAACAGTGATTCTTTTGGAAATAGACATTCGGTCATATAAAAAGATAAGCTAAAGTTAAGTTCATTAGATTCAGATGAAGGTTTACAGGCTAGGTTTAGCAGTCAACTTGTAACTCCTAACTTAATTTTAGCATCTCTGTAACGCCTCATCTTTGCCTGGAAAGAAACCTGATTGTTTATTTTTTTAATGCTTTTCCTTTCTTTGAACAGAATATAAGTATGTCTGTGGAAGGAGATTATACTTACTTGCGAATCAACTTTTATTGCCCAGGCAGTGCTCTGGGCAGGAATGAGGGCAACATCTTTCCTAACCCAGAGGCCACTTTTGTCAAAGAAATGTGAGTCCCCAGGATGACAACCATCCCCAGATCCCTGCTGGCTCAGTGGTACTCTCAGAAACATTTCATTCTCTGTCTGTATCCTCCCCATCTAGTGAATGGCAGAGGCTCCCTCAGTGACACTTGTTTAGGATCACCTCACAAGCTTTGTACTGTTTGGAGGATGGAACTGAGTGTAGAATCCTCATGAAAATACTTTATACTTACTACACATATTTTGCAGTAAAATATTAAGTAAATGTATGCCACATTGGAGTCTATTCCTTCATGATGTGGAAAGAGATAATTTGGGGAAGATATGCCAGATTTGAAAAATAAGTGTGATTGTCACATCCAATGGATTAGCCATTTATAACGTTCTCTGTTTAAGAGAAGAAAGGGAGATTTTTTTTCAGCTTTCTTGACATGGTCTCACCATTCAGTGGTACCGTTTTTCGTCAAAGATATTAAGCCAGTAATAAAATACAGTAATGAGTACAGGTTAACCTGGCCTGATAAAGAAACTTATATAAACATTTCTCCTTTTTCCGTAGTACATACCGAGCTTCAAATATGAAGGCACCTGGAGAACAGACAGTACCAGCCTTGAACCTTCAAAATGCTTTCCGAATTATAAAAGAAGTACAGAAGCGTTATAAGACTCGAGAAGCAGAAGAGAAAGAGAAGGAGGTGAGCCTGAACACAGACAAAGCCGCTTTGTGCCAAAATACATGTGTGGGTTTTGGGAACATGTAAAGACACATAAGGATTCACGTTAATTTTCATTCTGCTTAGGGCATTGTGAAACAAGACTCACTGGTGATCAATCTCAACCGGAGTAATCCCAAACTGAAAGATCTGTACATTCGCCCCAACATTGCCCAAAAGAGGATGCAAGGTTCACTGGAGGCCCATGTCAATGGTATGGATCATCTCTCATATGCCTGGGCTTTGTCTTCAGGGCACATTTGTAGGCATGACAGATCAGATAATATAGAATGACAGGGAAATGCTGCGAGGAATCTGCTTACATTGCTGTATGGCCAGGAGGAAAGCAAAGCTCTCTACAGTTGGCGTTTCTTCTGACCCTGTTCAGATCAGCCAGAAAAGATGCAGTGCCCTTTGGCCTAACCTAATGATGCTGCTTGGTACTTAGCTGCTTCCTTCTTTTCTGCCAGGTTTCCGTTTCACATCTGTTCGAGGAGACAAAGTGGATATTCTGTACAATAACATCAAACATGCTTTGTTCCAGCCCTGTGACGGAGAAATGATTATTGTCTTGCACTTTCACCTCAAGGTATGCCTTTCTACTTACTAGCTATGAGATCTTGAGCACGATCTTTCTGTCACCCTCTTTCCTTTAAAATGCTGATGGAAAATTTCACCTGTCACAAAAGGTCATTAAGAAGATAGAATAAAATAATGTGTATAAGGTCCACAATGCCCAATATCTAGAAGGTGCTAAGCATGTTTGTTCCTTTGGTATGATGTATAATGACCATCAAAACATAAGTCTTCTCCAAATTCCTGTTTCTGATAGAAAATTTTTGCTGTAGATACATTTTGTTACCAACATAATCTCCACAGTCCATTCTAACAAATAGGAGTACTGTTAAAAATTTATACTCTTTCCCATTCCCAAACATCATTATTTATGATGACACCAGGGATGGTTTAACTGTTTTTACATAAATGCAGTGGTTTCCAGCATAGATATTTTTATATTTTCATGTTTTGTTGTTGTATCTTGCCTCTGTCTCTTGCGTAGCCTAACTGTTCTGACTTCTTTTCTTGTTCTTTCTGCCCTCAGAATGCCATCATGTTTGGGAAGAAGCGGCATACAGATGTGCAGTTCTACACAGAAGTGGGAGAGATCACCACAGACTTGGGGAAACATCAGCATATGCATGACCGAGATGATCTCTACGCTGAGCAGGTCTGTGAAATTTAGTATTTTATTTGCAGGATAGTGAGGTGTAGGATGTGGTCCAAATTTGAGCTCAGTAATTGTTGTATTTTATAAACAACCCTTGAAACTGTGTGCAGAACAACTTATCTGCTGGGCTGGTGTAGTGCAGTGACTTACGAATCAGACTTAGGTTCAGACTCACCTTTGCAGTTAACGGCGTGATGACCTGTAATAATGTGTACACATTAGTATCATGGTTATGAGAAATAAGGACCCCAGAAGCGCTTCAGATTTTTTCAAGGGATGTACTATTGACAAGTAAAGTGATAGCTATAGTTAATTACTATTTTTTTCTTCTACAGATGGAACGAGAAATGAGACACAAACTGAAAACAGCATTTAAAAATTTCATTGAGAAAGTAGAGGCTCTAACTAAAGAGGAACTGGAGTTTGAAGTGCCTTTTAGGGACTTGGGGTAACATAGCTCATCTTCTTTTTGCCTTGAAGTTTCACTTCCCTTTTAGAAAAATTGGTTATTCCTTTAATAATAATTTAACATAACATATCATGTCCTTTTTCCTGTGACTGATAACCCGTGATCCATGCATTCCTTCTGGAAGATTTTTAAGAGTGAGGGTGAGTGGCCAAGACTGAGAGACTTCCTCTGGAAATGAGTCTCCAGCTAAGGACGCTGGAGTTGTGTGTGAAATGAGAAAAGGAAAGAAGTTCATTGTGGCAGCCGTAGTTTCTCTTGCCATGAGCCCAGTCTCACGTGAGTTTCTTTTCTTTTTCTCTTTCAGATTTAATGGCGCTCCCTATAGGAGTACCTGCCTTCTTCAGCCCACTAGTAGTGCGCTGGTAAATGCTACAGAATGGGTGAGTATTTCTTACCTCCTTTTAGTGAGAAAATTATTAGAGAAAAGCAAGCAAGAGGGTGGGTGTTTTGAAAATTAGATCCTTATTATTTCTTATGATTTTCATTTTTGGTATTTACTTATTTTAGACATAAAACTTACTGAACAAATGATTACTAAAAGGCCTCTTTAAATAGTATTTTTAGTAGTTTCTTCACATGGTTTCCATAAATTTATTCTTGAGGGAAGATTTTGATCTTGCAGATCCTTTTACTGGGGCTCCTTAGTATCTTACACTGCTTTTAGTCTTTTTTTAAAAAAAGGCACAACAGTTTAGTTATCCTTTGCACAGTGATTTAGATTCTGAAAGTATTTGAAAATGCTAATGCTTTGGGGGAAGTATTTATGTGATAATGATCTCGTTCCTCCCTGACAGCCACCTTTTGTGGTGACTTTGGATGAAGTGGAGCTGATTCACTTTGAGCGGGTCCAGTTTCACCTGAAGAACTTTGATATGGTAATCGTCTACAAGGACTACAGCAAGAAAGTGACAATGATCAACGCCATTCCTGTAGCCTCTCTTGACCCCATCAAGGAATGGTTGAAGTAAGTAAATCTGCCAGCAGTCTCCCATTTACCCCATGAACCCAAATTATAAAATATAAGTGTACATAAAAAATGTTGTGTTGTACATAAAAAATCTGCTGATGTTCTTAAGGTGAGACTGCCTTTGGGTTGAATTATAGGCCAGGACTTCAAAATTTGGGATCTGTTAGATGGAAAGCTGCTCACTTTTTCTTGAACACCCAACACTAGTTTATGGATACTTAGGCAGGGAAAATCATTGTCTGAGATCTTTTTTGACTCTATTTGATTTATGCATAAAAGATATATATACACATGTGTAATACCATTTACAAAAAGTGGGACATATTTCTTACTTTTCCTCTCTTTACTGAAAGATGAGAGAGAATTTTTTTTTTTATTTTAGCCTTTGATGTCCATATACTCACACTTGAGCTTAAAAGATTTTTCTCATGGAAGCACCAGAATTCCAATAAACCAGGGAGATGTTACTCCCTGGGTAAAGGGTGAGGCTTGGGTAGCTAGGAGTGGAGTATAGTTTGCTCTGCCCCTCCCCTCCATTATCAGAGCAGGGGTGGTGCTATAAATGTAAATCGCCTCTTAAGAAATGGGTTGAGAGCTTAGAAATAAACTGAGAAAAATACGAATTTGTTTCCACAATGATTTTCCTAAGAAACATGTATAGTAGGTGATATAGGATCACAGATATTATGTATAAATGTATATGACTTTTTAAAATTAGCTTTATTGAGGTGCAATTTACATGTAATAAAATTTGCCAATTTAAGTATATGATTTGATGAGTTCTAACATTTATACAGTGCTGTATCTACCATCATAATCAAGATATAGAATATTTGCTTCACTCCTAAAAGTTCCTCATACCACTTTATAGTCAGTCCCCTCATCCCCATCCCTGCTTTCTGTCATTTTGCTTCTTCTAGAATTTTATATAAATGGAACCATACAGTATGTATCTTTTGTATCTTGCATCTTTCACTTAGCATAATGCTTTTGGAATTTTTCAAAGTTGTTCTGTGCATCAGTATTAAATTCCTTTTTATTACTGAGGAGTATTCCACTGTGTGAATATTCCATTCCCATTTACCAGTTAATAGACATTTCGGTTGTTTCTATTTGGGGTCTATTACGAATAGCTGCTATAAACATTACATACAAGTCTTTGTATGGACATATGTTTCCATTTCTCTTGGGTAAATGACCTGAGAGAGGGATTGCTGGGTCATATGGTTACCTTTATAAGAAACTACCAAATCATCTTCCAGAGTGGCTGGAAAACCTGCAATATGTGGGAGTTGTAGTTGCTCTACATTCTCACCAGCACTTGGTGTTGTCAGTCTTTTCAATATTAGGCATTACACTGGGTATGTAGTGCCATCTCATTGTGGTTTCAGTTTGCATTTCTGTAGTGGCTAATGATGTTGAGCAGGTTTTCATATGCTTATGTGTCATTCTGTACCTTTGATGAAATGTCTGCATATTTTTTCCCCATGTTAAAAATCTGTTACTGAGTTGTAAGAATTCTTTAGGCTAGGTACAAGTCCTTCAAATATATTTTGAAAGTTTTGCATATATTTTCTTCCAGTAGTTTCTTGGCCTTTTCATTTTCTTAAGTGTCTCTCAAATTCCCAAGGTGTAAAATTTTCATGAAATCTATTTGGTCAACTTTTTCTTTTGTAATTTGTGCTTTTTATGTTTTATCTAATAAATTTTCCCTAATCCAAGGCCATAAAATTTTTCTGTTTTCTTCCAGTGTAGCTTAGGTCTTCTATTTAATTCGTGATCCATTTTGAGTTAATTTCTTACTGTGGTGTAAGGGTCAAGTTTCATACATTGCATATACATAGCCAATTATTCTCACATCAGTTGTTGAAAAGATTATCCCTTACCCATTGAATATCTTGGCATCTTTGTCAAAAAAAAAAATCAATTGGCCATGTAGGAGAGAGTCTATTTCTGGACTATATTTTGTCCCATTGCTCTGTGTGTGTCCTTACACTGACACCATTCTGTCTTGTTTATCGTAGCTTTATAGTAAGTCTTGAAATCAGGTAGTATAAGTCCTCCAATTTTGTTTCTTTTCAAAGTTAGTTATTGTTTTGGCTATTCTATATAAATTGTAGAATCAGCTTGAGTCTGTCAACAAACGGGTCTATTTCATCTAAGTTATCAAGTTTGGTAACTGTATAGTCTATAATGATATCCCCTTTCATTCCTCATATTGATAATTTATTTCCTATTTTTGTTGGTCATTCTGGCTAAAGATTTATCAATTTTATTTTCATCATTATGAAATGTCCTTACTTATTCCTGTTAATATTCCTTGTTTTGAAGTCTACTTGGTGTGGTATTACTATAGACTTCTAGCTTTATTTGAGTTAGTGCCTGCATGGTGTCTTTTCTTCTGTTCTTTTACTTCTTTTTAGATTGGCACCTGAGCTAACATCTGTTCCCAATCTTTTCTTCTTCTTCTGCCCAGAGCCCCCCCAGTACATGGTTGTATATTCTAGTTGTGGGTCCTTCTGGTTCTGCTATGTGGGACACCACCTCAGCACGGCTTGATGAGAAGCACTAGGACTGCGCCCAGGATCTGAACTAGTGAAACCCTGAGCCACTGAAGCCGAGTGCGTGATCTCAGCCACTCGGCCAGAGGGCCAGCCCCCTGTCCTTTTACTTTTAACTTACATTACTTTCTATTTAAAGTGGCTTACTTGGAGACAGCATAGCATATATTTGGGTCTTGTTTTTTTTAATCCATTCTGAGAATGTCTACCTTTTAATTGGATTGCTGAAAACAGACCATTTACATTTAATGTAATTATCAGTATAGTTGGGTTTAAACCTGCCATTTTGCTATTTGTTTTCCCATCTGTCTTTGTTTCTTTTCTCCTCTTTTTATGCCTTCTTTTGGATTAATTTTATGATTCTATATTATCTTCATAGTTGGCTGGTGACTACGCCTTTGTTTTACTTTTGTAGTGATTGCTCTAAGGCTTACAAAGACCTCTTACACAGTCTGCGTTCAGATAACGTACCACTACGTTGAAAGGTTCTTATGCTTTCATTTCCCTTCTTCTGTCCTTTCTGCTATTACTGTCATACGTTTTACATCTAATATACTATGAATTCCACAATTTATTGTCATTATTTTAGCTTCAAAACAGTTATCTTTTAATTTACAAAATGAGGGGAGAAAGTCTTTCATATTTGCTCACATATCTACCATTCTTGGTGCTCTTCATTCCATTGTGTAGTTCCAGCCTTCTCTTGGCTCGAATTGTCCTTTGCCTCATAAACCTCTTTAGTACTTAAGGTGCAGGGGTTTTTGGTGACAAATTCTCTCAGCTTTTTTCTTGAAAGCATTTCACTTGGATTTCAGAAAGATGTTTTTGGTGGACATAAAATTTTGAGTTGACAGCCTTTTCTTTGAATACTTAAAAGATGTTGCTCCATTGTCTTCCAGCTTGCTGGGTTTCTGATGAGCTGTTTACTGTCATTCTTTCTTCCTCTGTACAGATTATTTTTTTTCCTCAGGTTGCTTTAAGATTTCCTATTTAGGGGCCAGCCTGGTGTGCACGTTCCACTTCGGCGGCCCAGGGTTCATGGGTTCGGGTCCCCGGTACGGACATGGCACCACTTGGCATGCAATGCTGTAGTAGGCATCTCACATATAAAGTGGAGGAAGATGGGCACGGATGTTAGCTCAGGGCCAGTCTTCCTCAGAAAAAAGAGGAGGATTGGCAGCAGTTAGGCTCTGGACTAATCTTCCTCAAAAAAAAAATTTCCTATTTAGCACTGGTTTTCAGCAATTTGATTATTAGGTACTTTAATGTGGTTCTCTTTATGATTATTCTGCTTGGTGTGCATTGAGCTTCTTAGATCTATGGGGTTTATAGTTTTCATCACATTTTGAAATATTTGGCCGCCATTCTTCAAATATTTTTGCTCTTTCCTCAGTCCCCTTCTTTTTTGAAGACTGATTACACAAATTTTATTTCTTCATTTCTCTTCATCAAGTTTCCTTTTTCCTTCTTGAACATATAGAGCATATTTATAATAGTTTTTTTAGGGCCAGCCTGGTAGCACAGCAGTTGAGTTTGCAGTTTTGCTTCGGCGGCCCAGGGTTTGCCGGTTTGGATCCCGGGTGCAGACCCACACACCACTTGTCAAGCCATGCTGTGGTAGGCATCCCACATATAAAGTAGAGGAGGATGGGCATGGTTATTAGCTTAGGGCCAGTCTTCTTCAGCAAAAAAGAGGAGGATTGGTGGCAGATGTTAGCTCAGGGCTACTCCTCCCTTAAAAAAAAAATAAATAGCTTTTTTAATGTCATTGTTTGCTATTTCATCCACCATCTTGCATTTTCTGGATCTATTTCTATTGGTTGACTTTTCTCCTGCTTCTTTGCATGCCTAACAATTTGTGATTGGTTGCCAAACATTGTGACTCCACATTTTGAGGTGCTAGGTTTTGTTCTTTTAATTTATTTAGGTTCTGTTCCAGGATACAGTTAAGTTACTTGGATTCTGTTTGATCTTCCAAGACTTGTTGTCCACTGTCCCTGGTGCTTGTTCAGAACAGCCATTAGTCCAGGGCTAATTGGCCCCGCTGCTGAGACAGTACTCTTCTAAGGACTCTACTTGATTCCCTATGTGTTACTACGTCTTTCCACTGAAGCTGGTGGGAACAGGAATTATTTACAGTTCCGTGTGAGACCTGGGAATTGTCTGGCTTACTACTTTCCAGTGCATCTTTGCCCGGTTCTAGTTAGTTCCCTCTCATGCGTGTGCAAATCAGTCCTTCAGCCAAAAACTTGAGGGGATCCCTTTGCAAATCTTCAGAGCTTTCTCTCTATCACTCTATCCTTCAGTGCTCTGCCCCACAAATTCTAACTGTCTCATCCTCCCAAATCCTACTCTCTCTCTCAACTCCAAAAGACTACCAGGTTCTGGTTGGGTTCTCTCTCCCTCCATAGCAGCCTGGCAACTGCCCCTAGGCAGAAAACTGGAGCAGTTAAAAAACAAAACCTTGGCACCAGCCCAGTAGCATTGTGGTTAAGGTGGCATAGTGGTTAAGTTCACATGCTCCACTTCAGCAGCCCAGGGTTCACAGGTTCAGATCCTGGGCACAGACCTAGCACCTCTTACCAAGCCACACTGTGGTGGCATCCCACATAAAATAGAGAAAGGTTGCCACAGATGTTAGCTCAGTGACAATCTTCCTCATTAAAAAAAAAAAACTAAAAAACACATCTTGTTTGTTTCCTTTTCTCAGGGATTGTAGTCTTATGCTTTTCTTCCAGTGTTTGAAAACTGTTGTTTCTTATTTTGTTTGGTTTTCTTGTTAAAGGTGGAAAGGTAAATCTGGTCTTTGTTCCTCCATCAGGGCTAGAAGTTGTTTCAGTGTAGTGTCTCTAATGGATTTATGCCAGTGGTTCTCAGGCAGCTTTTATGCTGAAGGTTTCTTGTGATCCTTGCTATTGTCATTTCTTTGGTTTTCTTTTCTTTCTCACCCACTTTAATTGATTCAGCTCTCCCCAACAGAAGTGGATAAGACAAAGTCATTTGAGCATCTTCTTCATATAGGGCACTTTAGATAATAAAAGAAAAATTCCTCCCTGCATTCAAATAGATCTTGAATCCAATAAACAAGACATGGGAAAGCAATGGAGGGTTGAGGAGGGAAAGGTAGGGCCAAGGAAGATTGTCATTATGTCCTAATTGCAGTAAAACCAACGATCAGAGCTTGAAAAACAAGAATCACAGAAGTGGTTACAATTTGAGACCTGCATGCAAATAAGAGTGGAGTCAGAGAGGGGAAAGCATGGATGAGTAGGAGGGAAGTCTAAATGAGGAACGGGGAAATTGGTGCTTAAGGAAGAAAATAGAAAAGAGGGAGAGGATGAGCTCAGATTTCCTTGGTTGAGAGACAAAGCTTGCCTCAGCTGGAATGCTGCTCTGTCGAGGGCTAGTGCTCTGGGAGACCAAATGTCAGCCATTGAGCATGTTCTGGTGGCCCAGTGCAAAGAATACGTGCTCCCATACATTTAAGAAAAGGTTACGTGCTCTTCAGAGATGTTAATGACAAAGATGACACAGGACATTATCAGAAAATACAGAAGATTGATTTTGACTTTGTAATGTTATTTCTCTTAGTTCCTGTGACCTGAAGTACACAGAAGGAGTACAGTCTCTCAACTGGACTAAAATCATGAAGACCATTGTTGATGACCCTGAGGGCTTCTTCGAACAAGGTGGCTGGTCTTTCCTGGAGCCTGAGGGTGAGGTGCGTGAGTGTGGGGTTTCTTTTCTGGTACATAGTGTTGCCCATTATCATTTGTGCACTTGGGAGAGTGCCATATTAAGGGACCAGACCAAATGGGAGAAGCTCTGAAGACATCTTGGTATTATTGTTTTCTGGATTAGTTATACAGGTAAATGATAAATTAACTGGGCATTATTAAGCCACTGACAAGATTTCTTGAAATTACAAAAACTGTTCTTTCAATGAATTTCTTAGTATTTGGAAAAAATTCTCCAGGGAATTTTGCAGTAATTGTTTTCTAAAAGATGGTCCTCCCACCTCTGCACAATACATTGTGGGTTTTTTATTTTTGTAAATTTTTTTTGTACAATGCATTGTTCTCAAGAGTATTTCTGTTGTTAATTTTCCTGTATAAGGCAGGATGAAGTGAATCTTTAAGAAATATGAATTAGGGTCGGCCCGGTGGTGTAGTGGTTAAATTTGTGTGCTCCGCTTCGCAGCACCAGGGTTCACCAGTTCGGATCCTGGGCCTGACCTATGCACCACTTATCGAGCCATGCTGTGGCAGGTGTCCCACATATAAAATAGAGGAAGATGGGCACAGATGTTAGCTCAGGGCCAATCTTCCTCAGCAAAAAAGAGGAGGATTGGCAGTGGATGTTAGCTGAGGGCTAATCTTCCTCAAAAAAAAGAAATATGAATTAAATATTTAGGGTATCTAATAATTACACCTTAATGGGAATCTTAAATAAGTCATTTCATTTCTTGGTTATTCAGGGTTTTGGGGTTTTGTTTTGTTTTCTTTTTTCGTGTAAAATAGAAATAATGCTGGTGTGCTGAGGTGAATTAATTCATTAAGTTAATAAAGTGAATATTTAAAAAAAAAAAAACAGTAAATAGTATTATGCTCTCTAACTCACCAGGGAAGTGATGCCGAGGAGGGAGATTCAGAGTCTGAAATCGAAGATGAGACTTTTAATCCTTCAGAGGATGACTATGAAGAGGAAGAGGAGGATAGTGATGAAGATTATTCATCAGAAGCTGAAGAATCAGGTTAGCCTTTTAGGGAAAAGTTTTCATGGCTTCCTAACCTAATGTTATTTCTGGAAATGTCTTTCTTGGAAAGAATTTTGTCATTTCATTCCATTCCTCTCTAATGACTAATGCTTAATCAATTTTATTCCAGACTATTCCAAGGAATCATTGGGCAGTGAAGAAGAAAGTGGAAAGGATTGGGATGAACTGGAGGAAGAAGCTCGAAAAGGTAAATTTTTTGTTGTTTTGTTTTATTTTATCTTTTGAGAGGCACAAATTTCAACATTTTGAGATATTAGTAGCCTAATAAGAATAAGAAAAGAATACTATGAAAGTGACATGGAGCCACAGGTACAATTTCATTGACCAAAGGAGAAAAACAGGTCTGGAATGTTCCTATACTCTCCAGGTGGCATGGCTGCCTAACTGGATGCTATTTTCATCTGCTCAAGCCCCCAGTGGGCCCATAGCCATGACAGCCACGTAGTCTAGTAAGGCTCCAGAATTAGGCTATTCTTTTTCCAGGTCTAAGGCCTGTATTATCTACTGTATGCCGAGCATTGTCATAGGTACTTTGCATAGATCACCTTTTTTAATCCAAAACCAGTTTTCCATTTTATAAATAAATAAACCCAGGCTCAGAAAGGTTAAGTACTTGCCAAAGATCACACACACAACTAGTAAGTGATTAAGTAAAGATTAAAATTTTGTCTGACTCCGAAGTATATTCTCTGTACTATTTCATGCTATCCAGTAGTAGTAGGTACCTAACGCTAACCTATAGGTAACTAGTAATGCCTCTTTCTTCTATTTAGCGGACCGTGAAAGTCGTTATGAGGAAGAAGAAGAACAGAGTCGAAGTATGAGCCGGAAGAGGAAGGCATCTGTGCACAGTTCAGGCCGTGGCTCTAACCGTGGTTCCAGACACAGCTCTGCGCCCCCCAAGAAAAAGAGGAAGTAACTTCTGAACTTTGGCTCTCAGCTCCATTCTTCTTCCAGCCAACCCCTGAAAATTTTACATGACATAGAAACTGTATTTTTCCTTTTTTTCTTTTGAAGTTTGGCCATTTGTGTTGATGGGTTTAGGGGCCATTTGTGTGGACCAATCTCCTCGGGGAATTCCAGGCCCACCAGGACACGCGCCAACGGCCCCATCCAGATGGCAAGGGAGGCGGTGTTCTTGAAGAAGGGCAGAGGCTTCCGCTGTTGATAAATATTGTTTCATTCCTCTCTCTTCCTGTCACCTTCTGCCAGGACATCAGTGGCTTCTGACATCTTATTCTTTGATGTCTCAAAGCTATATTTCCAAGACATTGGTACGAGGTGACCCTTAACTACCTGTACCATGGTTCTTGACCAGCAGGTTCGAGCCTCCATCCTGCCCTACTGCCATGACCTTCCTCACATCTCTTTAAGTTCCATCTTTGCAGTACTCAAGAAAAGGTTCTTGGAATTTGCTAATGGTTTGATAAGCCATACAGCTTGAGCTAGTTGAGGCAGATCGGGCTGGTTACCTCCGTCTGAGTTTTCCTGCTTTGTTGCCTCATGCAGATGCTGAGGTATTTCTGCTGCCTTTGAAGACATAAGAAGCAGTGACACTCCCTGGCTTGGTTTTATCCTCCTTAAAAATGCACACATGGTACAATGGTAGAAGCAAAATTACCACTGTTTCTTTTCTGGTATATCTGAGGAAGAATGGCTATGCCTCGTCTACTGCTTCTAGTGTAATCTAGAAGGAGGCTCAAAGGAGTCAACACTTAGATCTGGAAGGGGCAAGTCATGCCTTGGGCCTAGAATACCCTGATGAGAAGAGAAGAGGAAGGGAGGCCACATCTACGGCACAGCCTCTCGTCACTGCTGCTCCTTATTTTTACTTGTCTTGCATTGTTCTGTATTTATCACAGTTTCTGTTGAACAGCTTTTTAAGTATTCGGGGAGTTTATCTTGCCACCCTCCCCCTCCTGGTTCTCTGCACCCACCTGTCCCCCTGCAGTTCCTTCTGTGTTCTGTGACTTTAAGAGAAGGGGGGGAGGGGTCTCGGATTTTGTTTGTTTGTTTTTTTCTCCTTAGCAGTAGGACTTGATATTTTCAATTTTGGAAGAACTAAAAGATAAATAAACTGTGGGTTTTTTTGTTGTTGTTTTGTTTTTGTAAATTCACCTTTGGTGACAGTCTTGTGCAGTTCCTGAAAGCAAGCCTGCTTCTCGCCTGGTAACTCGCAAAGGCATTAGAATAATGCCTTTACCCAGCTAGGATCACAAAAATAAACTTTCATCATTCTGAACTTACATCATTAGGTTGAGAGATACTAGACATCACAGTAAACCGAATTTATGGTATAGCAAGTTACTTTATAAGAGACTTTTTACTATGGTTCCCTCAGAGTTTGGAATGGAATAGCACTTGTTACGTCATGAAAAAATCTTCAGTCATCTCCTTGTAAATAGCATGGAGGGCAGCAGCAGCTTGAAGGGACACCTTCAGCCTTCCTATTGGGGTAGCCCGATCTTCAGGGCTAACAACTGTGGGAAAAGGAAAAAGAAACGTGTCAGGCAGCAGCATCGCTGAATTAAACACTTAAATACTTGGTCTTTCTTTGCCATGTTAGGTGCTGGGGAGACTAAAGTGAAGTTACTACCTTATCTCCTAGGGGGACTCGGTCTAGTGGAAGAGAGAGGAAAGCACAGTCGTTACAGTACAGTATGGTGGATGCTGTGAGGAAAACTCGAGGTGCTTTGGGAACACACAGAAGAGGCACCTAACCTGGAATGGAGGAATTGGAAAAGGCTTGCTGGGGAAAACCCCTGAGCTAAGTCTTAAAAAACCAAAAGATGTTTAAAGCATGAGCCAAGACATGAGAACATGACAAGTTTGGAAAACTGCAAGGAGTGGCAGAAATGAAGCCGTTCGCACTGGTCGGATCCTAAGGGCCTTGTCTGTCTCTAAGGAATGTGAAGGTATTAGAAGTGAGGGATTTTATTTGGGTTCTAGAAAAATGACTCCAGTATTTGGAAAATATATTCAAAGGGGGCACAAGTAGATCAGGGGGTGCAGTGATGAGGCTACCGCAGTAATTCAGGAGCAAAACGAAGGGATAGGAAGTAAAACAGTGCGGGGCAGAGGTGGGGAAAGGTTCCTAACATCCAAGAGGTAAAACTAATAGGATTTTGTGATTGAATGTTGAGAGTGAGAAGAAGGTTGGAATCAAGAATGACCATTCTAATTTGGGTAACAAGCTAGCTGGTGGGTAAGAAGGAATACAGTATGAAGTTGTAGTCGGAGGGAGTTTGAGGTACTAAGGGAACATAGAAGTGGTGACTAATAGTCTACTGTAAGTCTAGATTATATTAAAAACCCAGCCTGGAAACCTAGATTTGAGATCATTTCCCGGTTATAATTAAAACTCTGGGAGTGGATGCAAACACCCAGGGAAAGGATATGGAGAGAAAAGGCCGAGAATTGAATGAGAGAATCCAACATTCAAAGGAATATACCCAGGAAGAAGAACCTGCACAGGAAACAAGGAGCCCCCAGAGAGTGAGATGGAAAGTCAAAATGGCCTAAAAACCAAGTGAGAACAGTTTTAAAAGGAGAATGAGGGATGACGATAGAGGTTTAGAAAGGTCAAGTAGGACGAGTAAGAAAACCAACTGGATTTGACAGTTAGGAATATTGGTAAGAACAGAGTCACTGAAGGCCTTGGATGGAAACTTGGTCGTAATTGAAGACTATAGGAGGTGCCGAGCTAGCACTGTGCACTGACCGACCGTTCAGTAAATGTTTCAAGGAGCTGAGTTCTGAAATGACAAGACAGAAGGTAGCTGCAGGTCTAGAGAGCAGAGCTTTGTTTTTAAAATCAGATTGACATGATTAAAGCCTGAGTGGAAGGGAGACCATAATAAGGAAATTATGTTTTTCTTTTGATGATTAAAATATCAAAATAAAAATAGAGAAACATTCATTTGCTTAGGGATTTTGAGATCATTAGAATGAGGCTTAAGGGGATTTTCCTTATGTACAAAGGGCGTGGAGGTCAGGAGCAGCATGGCATGTTTAGGGGATGTGGACAGGAGTGAGAGTTGGAAAACAGCTGGCAGAAATGTCACTTGCCACGCACCAAGCCCTGTCCTAAGCACTTAATCTTCCCCTAGTCTTCATCTAAGCACCCCTTAATCCTCATGGCACCCCGGTGACGTAGGAACTGCTATTACATTTTACAGTTGAGGAAAGAGGCACAGAGAGGTTAAATACCTTGCCCACTATCACAGTTGAGAAGGTACTAGAGGAATATAATGAAGAATCTTGTCCACCAGCTAAAGTTTAAACTTTGTCACACTTGGTCTAAAGAGTCTATTCCTCAAAAAACTTTTTTTTTTTTTGGTGAGGAAGATTCGCTCTGAGCTAACATCTGTGCCTGTCTTCCTCTAGTTTATATGTGAGTTGCTACCACAGCATGGCTTGACAAGTGGTATAGGTCCGCACCCAGGATCTGAACCTCAAACCCAGGCCACCAAAGCAGACTGCGCCAGACTTAATGACTGTGCCATGGGGCCAGCCTCTCAAAAGTTAAACAATTTAAAACACTAAAATTTAAACACTAAAATTTAAACAGTAAAAACAATTATATACTGGGGGCCAGCCTGGTGGTGTAGTGTAGCAGTTAAGTTCATGCACTCTGCTTTGGCAGCCAAGGGTTTGCCAGTTTGGATCCCAGGCACAGATCTACGTACTGCTTATCAAGCCATGCTGTGGTAGGCATCCCACATATGAAGTAGAGGAAGATGGACACAAATGTTAGCTCAGGGCAAGTCTTCCTCAGCGAAAAAAGGAGGATTGGTGGCAGATGTTAGCTCAGTGCTAATCTTCCTCAAAAAAAATATATATATATCATCACATAGATATGTACATAAAACAAGTTCCACAAAATATTTATGTGCAATGTACTCTTGACATTTTCTACAGTTTTGGTTTATTTGGTTTTTTTCAAATTCTGGTTGTGACTTGCTAATTTAATTTCACCATCCAGTCATGGGTCATGACTGGAAGTTTGAAAAACATTGGTCTAACGGATAATCTTAAGTGCCCACTACAGCCTGGCAGATAAGGTAAATGTGTGAAGTCCCAGGTGGGTAAGGTAATAGGGAGCAGTGAGGACTGGACAGAGCAGGCCTACCTAAAGCCGGTGAAATGCAAATATTTTTAAAACAGCAAACAGTCTGTAAATGGAATTAAGAAGGATGTGGTGATCAAATTTATTGTATAAAAACCAGTGGCATGGTTTAGAAAACCATTACAGTTGTGGGGATGTGGTCAAGATACTTCTGAATGGATAAGACTTGGTAACCAATGGATGTGAGGAAAGAGGAGAGCTGGTGTCTAGTTCAGAGACGGGATGCATAATCGCTAAAAGAGGAGAATTAGCTGCCTTTAGAAACGTTACATGCCTAAGAGAGGGCAGGAATTCTGATGTTTAAATTTGATTGAAATTAAAAGAACTTGTCTTTTTAAAAATTCCCTACCTCAAACATTGGAGGTTCATAATAGATGCTAGTTGTCATGGGGTATGTGGGCTAAAATATACAACTGATTACTTTCATGCTTGATCTAGAAATAAGTACAGCTACAGGGATTTCAATTCAGTTTCTGTCTCATCAACTCTGCAGTGGTAATTAAGTACTGAATATAAAACAGGAAAAGCATTCAGTGTTAGGATGATTTCCTTAGAAATAAGAGGGACAGAGAAGCACAAAGGTTGGTTACTCACTGTCTAGCTCTTGCTCTGGAATGTCTCTTCCTGATTCCATGATCTGCCACAGCTCCAGATATGCATATCCTACTTCTTGACATTCATTCTTTTCCTCATCCATGGGATCACTAACCACCGTAAACTTTAAACTAGAGGGAAAAAAGCCCATTTAACTCAGCACTGCTGATACCCTTAGGTTTCAAAAATAAAATAAGGATAAAAGTAATCACAAATTATACAATGTCTTCCCTGAATCACTTATCCCTCACCTCCATTTACAAGACGACAACAGCAAAAGAGAAGGAATCAGAATAAAGTAACAACAGGCCTTGAGAAGAGGGAATTAAAACTCGAGATAATGTAGCTGGTTAAGTAATCTTAACAACAGTTACAGTTCCTTGTAAGATGGTTTACAATTGTTAAATGTTTTTATTTTTATTGGCACCTGAGCTAACATCTGTTGCCAACCTTTTTTTTTTCCTCTTCTCCGCAAAGCCCCCCAGTACATAGTTGTATATTCTAGCTGTAGTTCCTTCTAGTTCTGCTACGTGGGACACCACCTCAGCATGGCTTGATAGTGGTGCTAGGTCCGCGCCCAGGATCTGAACTGGCAAAACCTGGGCTGCTGAAGAAGAGTACACGAACTTAATCACTCTGCCACAGGGCTGGCCCCATGGTTTACAGTTTTGATGAAAGGTTTGATATGGACACAAAACCAAGCTGTTGCACAAAAACTAAGATTATAGGAGAAGTTAGAAGAAAAGGTTTTAAATTTCTGAAGAAAAGAAAAGTTGGGTACCAAGCCTGAGCAGAATAAAGGGAACAGAAGCAATACAGAATTGCAAAACAAATATAAAAAGTGTATTCCTTAGAGTTGTTCTAAGTCTTGAAAGATGATGCTGTACAGGACACAGAAGAGTGCCTCACAAGCAGTGAGCATCAACAGCAATTATGATCTTGACTTAGCTTAGAAAGCACGATACTGAATTCCAGAAACTGGTACCTATTACATTTTTTGAGATAAAATTCACATAAGTTCACTATTTTAACCACTTTAAACTGTACAATTCAGTGTTTTTTATTATAATCTCAATGTTGTGCGGCCATTACCACTATCTAATTCCAAATCACGTTCCTCACCCCAAAAAAGAAATCCTATACCCAGTAAGCAGTCACTCCCCGTTCTCCTCTTCCTCAGCTCCTGGTGACCAATTTACTTTCTGCCTCTCTGGATTAACCTATTCTGGACATTTCATAATCCTATTAATTTTTTAAAAGCAAATATTGGTGGCTAATAGTGCAAAGGGAGCAAGAATAGGACTAAATATTCAAGTTCTTAAAATCACAGCTAAACACAATTAAGATGAAAAGAAGAAATTCTGAAAGGGATACATTCTTAGCCCATTAAGCACTATTCATTTGTGATTATGTCTCTCCATCATTACTGAGAACTTCAACAATGCAAAGGGATAATGCTGACACACACACAATTTTCCCAGAAAGGGATGGTAACTAGCGTTGCTAGTTTGCTGGGCACAATATCCAGTGCTGTAGGTAAATTATGTTATTTCAACTTTATCCTCACGGGAGCCTTCAAGTTAAATAATATCTCAAAGATCAAAGAGCTGGTTGTGGAAGAGTCAGGATTCAAAACAAGGCCCGTGTGATCACAGAGCTGATGTTCTGTCCTCCGTACCAGAGTGGCAAAAAGAAAGTCAAACGCAAAATCCATGGAAAGCTAAAGTTGAGTTAAAGGTTACAAAAAGAAAAGAAAGGAAAAAGATTACCACTTTTTTGTGTTTGCGAATCAAGGAAGAGAGGGTACTGTGACTGCTGGGAGAAAAAAAAGAAAAGAAAAAGCTAAATTTAACATTAATGCAGAAAGGAACAATAAATCATTTTCCATCTCCAAAAGTGCCCAGTAAGCTTACAACTGCTTAAGTCCTCAGCGATACTGAGGTCAGAGTCACTGTTGATTTCAGCTGGCTTCTTTTTCATCATTTCTATGACTAACTAGAGATGAAGTAAATGCAAATTAAAGAAATTTATTGGGCTTTTAGAAAAATAATGGATTAAAACAAAAGCCTAATATTACTTCTTACCCCCACACATGAAAAGGAGGTACAGTTGCCAGATTTTGCCCAAAAAACACCCCAAAACAGATGCCCACTTGAATTTGAATTTCAAATTTCAGCTAAAGAATGGATAATTTTCTTACTATAACTATATCCCATGCATTTCATCTGGAATGTCTAAAGGTAGGCCTCCTTGGATTACAGGAATAATGACAAGTCGCTTTCCTAAAACTTATAATAGACCTAGAACTTACTTCAATTATATTGAAGTCAAAGTATTCCTTTGGAGAAATAGTCTTAAAAATCTAAATATAAAATTAACATTATAAAGGCATAATATTTGGTAAGCTAGCAATGATATTGCATTTGTGAGAAATGAATCAAATTATCTCAGAATGTCAAAGCGTTTTGTCCATTTCATATAGGGCACTGTCAGTATTCAAGCAAATTATTGCCACAAGAAAAGCGCTTATCAGGGGCTGGCATGGGTGAAAAGTGAACTAAACCTATGAGATTTTATAATTCATCATGCAGTCAGTCACAAACATAAATTGGACTCAAATAGATGAGAAATTCATTGAGTAAATTAATAAGAAAGAAGTTTTAGGGGCCGGCCCCGTGGCTGAATGGTTAAGTTCGCACGCTCCGCTTCGGCGGCCCAGGGTTTTGCGGGTTCAGATTCTGGGCGCAGACATGGCACCACTCATTAGGCCATGCTGAGGCAGCGTCCCACATGCCACAACTAGAAGGACCTACAACTAAAATATACAACTATGTACTGGGGGGATTTGGGGAGAAAAAGCAGGAAAAAAACCCTAGATTATTTAAAAAATAAAAAGAAGTAGTTTTAAAATATTTAGCATTGGTACAAAACCAAACTCAAACCCCTGAATTCCTGTGTGACTATCTCTTTTCCTTCAAAGTGGAAAGCAGATGCTTACTGTCCTTGCTCAGGATCTTGTCTCTTCAGCATAGCGAACAGAAATTGCCTTCGGCCTTTTTGCTCCAGTGGGTCCAGGTCTATCACTGTTATTAAAGGAAAGAATTAAAAAAGCAAAGAATCACATACTGTTGCTATTTGGGCACCAAGACTTTCATAAGTGGTGTATGTAAAACGGTTATATAAAGCAGAGGTCAGCAAACTAGGGCCCATGCGCTGGCCACCTGCTTTTGTAAATAAAGTTTTATTGAACACAGCCACGCTCATTTGTTACATATTACCCAAGGCTGCTTTCCAGCTACAATAATAGAGTTGAATACTGTAGTTGTGACAGAGACTGTTTGGCCCACAGAGCCTAAAATATTCACCTTTAAGAAAACATTTGTCCACCCCTGATACAAAGGGCCACCTAGAAATTTGGGTTTTGTGGCAGGTTCGACTCAGGGAGCCATCCTGTCTCAACATCCATTCCCCACTTCCTCCTTATTTTCATATGGGAATACTGCAGCCTGCAATAAATCAGTCTGTTTTCCAGCCTCTATTTTAGCTATTCGGCCATGTGATTAAGTTCTGGCCATTGTGTTGTGTGAAACCTGCTTCCCAGGCTCAGCTGGGAGGCATTCTTCCTTTCCCCAGAGGTCATTAAGGACCATGGGTGACCAAAAGGATGGAAGACGGGCAGTAGGATGATGAAAAGGCAGGACAGGACGTTGGATCCAGCCCTGGACTGCCCACCTCTGAACTCGTGTAAGACAAGTGAGGAATAAGCTTCTATCTCGTCTGCTATCAGGACAGGATATACTTTTAAAAAGAAAAAAAAAGGAATAGAGCAAGAAACAATTCTCAGAAATTTCAAATAAATATTCAATGACTGCAAGATAAAATTAAGGAAATCTCCCCAAAAATAGAAGGAAAGAAAAAACAGAGATAGGATTATAGGAGAAAAATGATAAAAATCAGAGATCAATTTGGAAGATCCAAAATCCTACTAAAATAGGAAAATGCTGAGAACAAAATTATCAAAGAAATGCAATAAAATTTCCCAGAACCAAAAGCCAGCAGCTTCCAGATTGAAAGAGCCCACTGTATGGCCAAAACAATTAAAGAAAAATATGCAGATTATTCTAAGATTTAAGAACATCAGAGATAAAGAGAAAATGTTGAAGTCTTCCAGGGAGGTAGACGGTAGTTTTCATACAAAAGTTAGACTCCTGGCCTAAATCTAGAAGACCATGGACGAACAGCTTTGAAATTCTCAACAAAAATATTTTCAATATAGATGTCTATACTTGGTCTCATTACCAATGGAATATATGGGTAGAATAAAGAGATTTCACGCATGACTGTCTCAAAATGTCTACTTCCAATGTACTCTTTCTTTAAAAGCTACTGGAAACTATGGTCTGTTAAAATAAGAAAATAAATGAGACAGAGGTTGACACAGGACCCAGGTGACATGAAATCCAGCAGAGGAGAGAATTAAATCAGATTCCCCACACAGCAGTGACATAACAGCTGAACAGGAAAGGAGCAAAAGGATGAAGAGAGGTCTTCAGGAAAAAAATAGATAAATTAGTTGACAGGTTTATTTGAAAATATGGAAAGGCTGTTGGAGGATGTGAAAAGAATTACAATAGGTATAATAAAAATAAAGCAAATAAGAAATTGAAAAGAAATAATAAACAAGGAAATATAATCATGTCATACTACTCGGCTTTACAAGAATTCATATTTACGTATCCACAATAGAATAGAAACAATTAAGATTGGATTAAATAAAAATTATGATCCAACTATATGGGAGGCAGGGGGCATGGGTGTGGTGTAAGAGAGATAAGTTTTATGTGCCAAGAGAGGAAGTTAGTAGATAATGTCTAAAATTGGTGAATCAGGAAACTGCAATAGAAACATTTCTCAGAAACATGCAGCCAAAAAACAGAAGAAATAGGACAAAAAGTGAAAAGTGGTGTGGCGGACTGAGGCGGGAAGGGGCGGGGCAAGGGGGAGTGATTTGTGGAGAAACGGTGGAACAAAGGACTGCTTAATTTTAATTAAAAATCTTTTAAGGCCTATTTGATGTTTTAAAACCATATGCATATATTACTTTGATAAAAAAATAAAATAAAATGGCTGAATCCACCCCATCAGAAGTCCACAGTAGTGTGAGCCCTCAGTTTAAGCGTTTGTCCGCCTCCTTCCCCCGCTAAGCACAAGGGCGGCCTCACCCTTGCTAAAGTGGAAGTGGATCTCCTCTCCGGCCCTCGGTTTCCTCAGGGATACTGGAGTCTCCGTCTCTGACAAGGGTAAATCGCAGAACTTGTACTCCACGTACACCTGCTTTATGTTCTCATCGTACATCACTTCAGCCTCTGGGTTGAAGGCCAGGGAGACAATTTCAATGCACATCTTCTCTGATTTCTGATAAGGAAAATGTTTATTTATTTCCTATAGGTTAGTGACGCCGCAAGTGTTTATACTCCATCTAGTTAACACATTACTCTCTAGGAATCAATCACAGGCATTCTCATCTAACATACCACTCCTTGAGAATCAAGTTATGGGTAAAACTGGCACCAAGAGACAACTTGACTGAATTGTCCCAGCTCATCTGTGGGAAATTTATAAAGAGAATCCAGTTGTTCTTTCTCCCAGTCCAGTAAATCATTTCTCCAGACCAGCCTTTCTCAGCCATCTCCACATAGAGAAAGAATCAAGAAACTTTCTGAACAGATAGTTTTCTTAAACTTTCTCGATGAAAACCAATCCAGTATTTTCCTGAGGTTGGGTCCTAGGAGACTGCCTATCGATACTGGAGATTTAGCAAAGAGCTGCCAGTGCTTCCTGTGCCCACCTCAGTGCAGGCCACAGAGCAGGGCATCAGAGCTCCCTGTCCTCCCACAGCAACTCCAGTGTTTTCAGCTCCACTTCAGAGTTGTCGCCACAACCACCATGCTCTTTTGGTTGTTCCTGCATCCACTTTTGCACTAAGGACACCAAGAGGAGAGCTGACACCTCTCTGGTTTCAAGAAGTAAACTGAGGCCAACATTAAGTGTCATTCCATGTCCCATCCATCGTGGTTGTGCCCCGTGTCCATCCCCGTGTTGTCCCCCTGTGCACAGTGTGGCAGCAAGTCAGTGTCATGGCATTAGTGAGGAGTCAATCCAGGATGGCCCCCTGCCGGCCACAGTTCTCCTTTCATCCGTGAGTGCCTCTTTCCTCTAGGTTGCCAGGCCAATATCCTCACTTCTTTGAAGATCTGCGCCCCCACCATCTTTTTTTCTCTTCGGAAGCAAATGGAGCCTCCTGTGCCTTGTCCTAGGAAGCTCAGACAAAATTTCTCAACAAATTTGCATCAGAACAACCCGGGTGCCTCTTAAAAATAAAGATACTTGATGCTTCCCTCTCAATAGTCCCCACACATCCTCCTACAACACCCATCATGAAAACCATTGAGTCTCTGCAGTATTTTCCAAAATGTGGGTTTTGACACGCATGGGCCAGCTAGCTGGGTTTCACTAGCATATTTTTAAATGAGAGACTAGAATAAAATAAGATAGGATAGGCTAGACAGGATAGCCTAGAATAGACAGGATAGGCTAGAAGAGAATAGAAAATATGAGAGTGCATGGCAAATGGTAAAGGTACGTCTTGTTTCTTGAAACTTGTGTTTGTATATGACTGTGTTTGTATATGTATTTCTACATATGGGCATAATGTAGAAATGTATTTCTTATAGTGATTGTCATAAAAAAAAAAAGTGCAAAAGCGGAGCCGGCCCTGTGGCCGAGTGGTTAAGTTCGCGAGCTCCGCTTCGGCGGCCCAGGATTTTGCCAGTTCGAAACCTGGGCGCGGACATGGCATCGCTCATCAGGCCATGCTGAGGTGGCGTCCCACATGCCACAACTAGAAGGACACCCAACTAAAATATACAACCATGTACTACGGGGATTTGGGGAGAAAAAGCAAAAAAAAAAAAAAAGAAGATTGGCAACAGTTGTTAGCTCAGGTGCCAATCTTAAAAAAAAAAAAGTGTAAAAGCCACTTATATTGGACTGTCCTGGGAATCTGTGTTTAAAGATTTAGGTATAATTTATATACAGTAAAATGCAAAACCTTAAGAGTACAGTTTTGACAAATGTATAGAAGTGCATAATCACCCTATTCAAGATACACAACATTTCCATCACCCTAGAAAGTTCTCTCATGCCACTGCTGAAATTATTGCAAACCCTATGCTGTAGTCTCAGTAAAAGTTAAGCCAAATTTTTCAAGGTGTGTCTGAGGAATAGGTGTTTTACAAATGAATTGTCTGTGATGAAATAAATCTTACCAAAACAGAAAAGCCTATGCTTAGTGGGGATGAATATTTTCCCCATAGTTAAAAATGAATGGGGCCAGCCCCGTGGCGCAGCAGTTAAGTTCGCACCTTCCACTTTGGCAGCCAGGGGTTCGCTGGTTCAGATCCCAGGTGCGGACCTATGCACTGCTTATCAAGCTATGATGTAGCAGGTGTGCCACATATAAAGTAGAGGAAGATGGGCATGGATGTTAGCTCAGGGCCAATCTTCCTCAGCAAAAACAGGAGGATTGGCGGCAGATGTTAGCTGAGGGCTAATCTTCCTCAAAAAATAAAAATAAAAATGAACCACCATCAGACAAGCGGCTTTCAAACTGTAAGACTCACTGTATGTGCATCTGTATGTGTGTGTATTAATCACCGAAATAAAAGTCTCCAGAAACAATTCTTGACATTACTATGTGTGAAGCAAACTGTTATTTTGTATTCTACTCTATCTCAGTTTTTCTTTTCTCTTTCTCTTTTTTTTTTTTTTTGAGCAAGATTAGCCCTGAGCTAACTACTGCCAACCCTCCTCTTTTTGCTGAGGAAGCCTGGCCCTGAGCTAACATCATGCCCATCTTCCTCTACTTTCTATGTGGGATGCCTACCACAGCATGGTGTGCCAAGCGGTGCCACGTCTGCACCTGGGATCTGAACCGGCGAACCCCAGGCTATCTCAGTTTTTCTTTAGTGCTGGCTGGGACCCCCTATTTTGATTTCACTCCCCACTAAGAGATGCCAACTCACAGTTGAAAAACATTGCACCAGAGTTATGCTATATAACATGGTAGCCATTAGCCACACGTGCCCATGGAGCACTTGAAATGCGGCCAGTCTCAATTGGGACGTGCTGTAAGCCTAAAATCCACCCATGATTTGGAAGACTTTGCATGAAAAGAAAAATGAATGTAAGATATTTCAATATTTTTTTATATTGATTACATGTTGAAATGATAACATCACGGATATATTAGGTTAAATAAACTGTATTGTTAAAATTAATTTTACTTGTTTCTTTTTACACCTTTAATATGGCTACTAGAAAACTACATTTGTGCCTCACATTATACTTCTGTGGAACAACACTTCATAGACTGTGAGCTCTGTGAGTTCTGGGACCACAAGTCTGTTTTGCTAACCCCTTTGGTCCCAGCATCTAGCACCCCCCTAATTTGTTTTGTTACCTCTCCACGCCACCTAGATCTAAATTTTTCAAAATTGCTTTTGACTTGTTCCCTCACAAACACTCTTATCCCATTAAAGTTAGGAACTGAAAGCATCAGGGGACAACTGTGATAAAAAGGCCACTATTGGGTGAGCATAAATTGGTATAATTTGGGAGGATGATCATTTGGTGGTACCCATCGAAATTTCAAGTGCGCATCCCTTTTAAAACCAATAGTTCCACTTCTAGGAATCTGTCCCACAAAAACATGGCCAAGCACACAAAGATAGATATGTACAAGGATGTTCATTGCGGCATTATTACTTTTTTCTTTTTTCCCTCTTTTCTTGTAGGTACTTGGTTATACAGAAGTGAAAGTGACAAGGTCCTGGTGCAGTCGGTCTGGATGCAGGTCAGAGGGCAAATTCTGCAAAAGCTAGGTATGGTCATCAAACATTCTCTCCTCTCAAGGCTCGTTTACAAAGTCTGGTTAGGAAATTTTACTGTAGACTTTTCTCCCCCTGTCCCCAGCTCTATTGAGATATAATTGACCCATAACATTCTCTTGATAGCTGTACCTCAGAAAAACCAAATTCTTTTCTACCTCAGGGCCTTTACATGTGCCCTTTCCTCCGCCCAAGCAGAGTTCCTCCCAGCTCTTCCCTTCTCATTCTTCAGATTTCAGTTCAAATGTCCCCTCCTCAGAGAGCTCTTTCTTTACCTCCTTACCTCACTCAACCCCTCCCATTACTATCTATTATATCACCCTATTTATTTTCTTCCTAGTATTTAGAATTAGCAAGTATCTGGCTTATTTGTTCACTGATTTATCTGTGTTTTCCCTTTGTAGATTGTAAGATTCAAGAGGGAAGGGACCAAGTCTGTCTTAGTCACCATTCTGCGTCTACAGAGCCTGGCAAACACTCAGACAAGCACCCCATTATTATTTGTTGAAGGAGCCAATACCTCACAGGGCTGCCATGAGGACTGAGCGAGCTAATGAATATTAAGTACATATAGCGTAAAAGCTCTATCAGTGTTGCCCATTGAGGTTTGTCTAAAGAAAAGGTCAGATATTATTTTAATGGACTACTGATCAGCAGTTAAAAGGAATGAACTAGAAAAAGCTAAATATATCAACATGGATGGACTCCCAAAACACTATTAATCGAAAAATGCATGTTTCAGAATAATATGTACCAAAAAAGAAAAAGAAATGGGGGAAACTGGGTGAAGGTAAATGGTACCTTCTTGTACTTTTTTTGCAACTGTTTACAAATCTATAATTAATTCAAAGTAAAAAGTTAAAAAATAATACATGCCGTTTAATGTCATTTATTTGAAAGCGAAAAAAAAAAACAAATACAAATCAATATGAATGCTACAGTTCTTTTTTTTAAGATCTGAAAAGATACACCCCAAGACTCAAAACAATGATATTCGTGGGGTAAAAGCAGAGGCAGCAGGGATTATAGGCAGTGGTCAACAGAGATTTAGCTTTATCTGGAATATCCTAGTTTTTAAAAGAAAAATGTATTCTTATATTGCTTGTGTAATTTAATTTTTAAAATTTTAAACTTGCAAATAATCCTGGGACAAATGATCAGAAATCCATATTTATGCAGACTATATCAACTTTATTCTGATAACGAAGATGAATTAGGAGGATGAATAAGATGAACATTTGAGGCAGGTACACACAGAGGCCTTATTCATTCCTGTTAGGTTGGACCATAGGAAACTGTCAACAGTCCACCACTTTTTATCTATAAAAATGATAATTTCAGGGGCCGGCCCAGTGGCACAGCAGTTAAGCTTGCGCAATCCGCTTCTCGGTGGCCCGGGGTTCGCCAGTTCGGATCCCGGGTGCGGACATGGCACCGCTTGGCAAAAAGCCATGCTGTGGTAGGAGTCCCACGTATAAAGTAGAGGAATATGGGCATGGATGTTAGCTCAGGGCCAGTCTTCCTCAGCAAAAAGAGGAGGATTGGCAGTAGTTAGCTCAGGGCTAATCTTCCTCAAAAAACGAAAAATGATAATTTCATATGGCTTATTATGTAATGAGTGTTTGTGTCCCCCTCAAAATTCCTATGTTGAAACCCTAATCCCAATATGATGGTATTTGGAGGAGGTGGGGCCCTTGGGAGGTAATTAGGTCATGAGGGTGGAGCCCTCAGGAATGGAATTAGCGCCATTATAAGGAGAGGCCAAAGAGCTAGCTGGCTTTCTTTCTGCCATGTTAAGATACAATGGGAAGCTAGCAGTCTGCAACCTGGAAAAGGGTCCTCACCAGAATCTGACCACGCTGGCAACCTGATTTTGGACTTCCAGCCTCAAGAACAGTGAGAAATAAATTTTTGTTGTTTGTAAGCCACCAGGTCTATGGTACTTTGTTATAGCAGTCCAAATTTACTAATACATGGGTCAGTATTTTAATTTGATCCAGAATCCTTTACATGACCTGGTTCCATTACATAACTTTAGTGGGATTGAACAGCAAAAAATAAAGTATACAATTATTAACATTCAGCATATGAACCACTGTAATATATACTAACTAACTCATTTGAACTTGCTAGCAGAACCCCTGAGAGCAGTTAGTTATGCAGCATGAGTGCCAGACAGACAGCTCCCATTGGCTTATTAGTTCAGGTGTGCTAGCTAATTTGGCTGGGAGGCAGAGCTGTGAAAATTAATTAGCTAGCATACACAAGGGATCAGGACATTCTTATACAATTAAGAGTATAAGAAAAGAGAAGGAACTTTGAGGTTCTTAATACATGGTGTGGCTAAAAGACAGTAAGTAACATGAGGCCGTAGGGCAAATGAAATGATTGCTCCCTTCTCATTAGTGGCTGTTAAGAAGGGGAGGGAAAAGTTTTCTCTGGTCCACTCAGAGTGAGAGAGAGATTTCTGGCACCAGGAATGGGACTTCATCTGGAGGAAACCATGTGGTTCGGGTTGAGATCATTTCCTGGAGATGCTTAGAGAGAAGGCAAATACAGAGGGTCTTTAGGAATCTGGTGCTGATTAACAGACAGGACCTCCTGGCAAACAGACCTATACACATCCTATGAACACAGGAACTGTCCTAATTCTGGACTCAGAGAGGAGCAGTTAAAAGATCCAAATGGACTGTGGTTGTTTCACTTTTTTGGTAGTTTAAGGGAAAGACATTTTGGAAGGGTCTTCTTTAAGTAGTACTGTTCAACCTAATTCAATGGACTTGGCAGGCAGAAGGGAACTGACACCCTTCTGCCTCAATCTCTTCCCCTTAGGGCCTAGTTCTTCCTTGGAGGGGCCACAACCAGATCATAGAAGCTCAACCTTGAAAACCAGAATACTTTGGAGAGGGTAGACTATTGCCGTCATCAACATTATCACCACTATCATTCAGTGTTTGATGCGTCTCGGGCACTGTATGAAACCCTTACCAGACATTACCTTACTTAAATCCTCCCACATCACTATAAGGTAGATATACTTAATATTACCATTTTATAAATGGGGCACAAAGTCTAATAGAGTTTAAGTAACTCCCCCAAAGCTGCATAGCTAGTAAGTACCAGAGCCAGGATCTAAACCACTTTTTTAAAAACCGACATATGATATTATATTAGTTTCAGGTGTACAAGATAATGATTCGATATTTGTGTATATTGAGAAATGATCACTGCGATAGGTCCAGTTAACATCCGTCACCACACTAAGCTACAGATTTTTTTCTTGTGATGAGAACTTTTAAGATCTACTCTCTTAGAAACTTTCAAATATACAATACAGTATTATTAACTATAGTCACCATGCTGTATGCTACATCTATATAAACCACTTCTGTCTGAACCAAATCTCCATGCTCTTAAATGCTACACTTTCTCCTCCATTATCCCAGCTGACTCCAAACACAAGAGCAACAGAGCTCAAGCATTGTCTCTGGGCCTGCAACCCCTTCGATCTTTTATGCCTACCTATTGTGAAATACAATCATTATTGAGTATAAACGTATCTGTGTTGTAAGTTTAATTTGATAATAACACTAATTTTTTTGCTTAAGTAGGCTTGGTTTTCATATTTAGTTTCTTTTTTTCCATACTTAGTTTCTCAAGCAACATTTTTGGGTACACAAAGGTTTTCTAAAAGGAAATCTTATTTAGGAGCCTTTAACTTAGAGTAATATTTTAATGTAATCTGTTTGACTTGTAGTTCAAAAATCTGCTGACCAGGGCTGGCCCCGTGGCCGAGTGGTTAAGTTCGCGCGCTCCGCGGCAGGCGGCCCAGTGTTTCGTTGGTTCGAATTCTGGGCACGGACACGGCACTGCTCATCAAACCACGCTGAGGCAGCATCCCACATGCCACAACTAGAAGGACTCACAAAAAAGACTATACAACTATGTACCAGGGGGCTTTGGGGAGAAAAAGGAAAAAATAAAATCTCAAAAAAAAAAAAAATCTGCTGATCAGCTGGCTGCTTTTCCGTTTGATCTGAGAGGCGCGTGGTTTAGAAACCTTGACTGGAACTCCAGCTCTTTCACTAACTAGCTCTATAATCCTGGACACATCATTTGATCTTCTTCACCTTTATTATACCTAAGGTGTTATTGTCTAGTTGTAACATTCTATGTTCTGGTCTATCTTGCAAACATTTCTCAAGATATTAATCATACAATGTCTAAAAAAATATGGCAGATAAAAGTTCAGAAGAAGACAAACTTAACTATTTGCCATACTAACAATTTAAATTTACTGATTTTGAGTTGCTTCTCCTCACTCCAATATCCTTCATTTTCCTGAAAATCCTCAGTACAAGTTCTGACTTTCAAGGAAGAGTTTTCTGACCTCTACAAAAGAACAATAATTTCCCTTTTTTGAATTCTTACAAACCTTAGAGTTTATATCACATAATCTACCTGCTTGATTCTAGGTCACACTATACTTTTCTTCATTGTGTGTAAAAATGTTCACAATCCTCGATCGGATTTTAGTCTTTCATTCAGTCACTCATTCAGCAAATATTTATTGGGCGCCTACAAATGTGCCAGGAAGTGTTCTAGTGGCTCCAGGGAGAGACTGTCTCATACCTCATTTACAACCCCACGAGATTCTAATACAATGATGACTGCTGAATATACCGGTGGATATTTATTCGTGTGTGTGTGTGTGTGTGTGTATCCTCAATTAGTTCCAAAAGAGATTTGAGGCTGAAATGTTTAATAAATAATTGTAATTACAGGTTTTAAAGGTTGGGTCAAAAACTTCAGAAACTAAATGATGTCTCTGAGCCCTCCTATGGAGAATCCTTTCCTCTTTTCCCGCCCCTACCTCCCAGAGTCAACCTGCTCTCCTCAGGTGGATTTAAAGAAAGGGTTATCACTCAGGCTAGGGATGAATCACAAGACGCAATGAAGGAGGCAGGCAAGGGACCCAAAAAGGAGAGAGAAGGGTTGAAGCAAGTCCTCATTACCCCAAATTAAGAAAATGATCTTTTAATCTGTATCAACAGACTTCTATTCACTTGCAATGTAAATTCAACTGAATAACTTGAATTTCCCATCAGGTTCATTGAAAACTGGATTTGCACTTCACAGATGTGGTCATTAAGCACACTAACTGTCCTTATGTACAATCTTGTCTCATACTCAACGATCACCCCCATGTACTTACTGCCTTAGGACATTTCTGAGATACGGGTGTCACTATTTCGTCACTGTCTGTAGTTTGTGCTTCACTGACTTCAGAAGCTTGTTCGCAGGATTCTTTGTCTGTCAGAGAAGAGGCTGGAGTTACAGAACTATTTCAGAACACCCTGTCTTTTTCAAGGATTGACTTGTTTGGAAGCTTGCCAAACACACAGGGTTCACTTCCGAAAAAAGAAAAAGGAAAGAAAGGGAAAGAAGGAAGAATGGAATGAAGGACGGAAGGAAGGAAGGAAGAAAGGAGGGAGTGAGGGAGGGAGGGAAGAAAGGAGGGAAGGAAGGAAGCAGGGAGGGAAGGAAGTCCTTCCTTTTGTAGGGGCTGGAGAAAATGACCAGCCGAGGAAAAGCAGTGCGATCAGGGTGTGGCAGACTGTATTTTCCAAAGACAGACTCAAACAACACCTCCCATCCCACACGCTCTCTTGCAACGCGACATTTTTTACTGAACATCTGAATTTCCTTTACAGAGTGCCTTTCCAATCTTTTGCTCATTTTTCTGTTGGGTTGTTTGTCTTTTTCTTATTGATTTGGAGGAACTCTGTATATTTTCTGAATTTGAGCCCTTTGGTAGTTACATGAGTTACAAATATCTGTTCCACTCTTTAGCTTGCCTGTTTAATCTCTTGCTGAACAGAAATTCTTACTTTTAAGGTAGTCAACTTGATCAATATTTTTCTTTATGATTAGTGCATTTTGTTTCTTTTTTTAAAAAAATATCTTTCCTTACTCTGAATGATGAATAATGCTGCTATGAGTATTTGTGTACAAGTCTTTGGGTGGACAAATGTTTTCATATCTCCCGGGTAGATACTTAAGAGTAGAATTGCAGGGTTGTAAACTATATGTTTAACTTTTTAAGGAGAAGCCAAATATTTTTTAAAGTGGCTGTAATGTTTTACACTCCCATCAGTAATGTACAAGGTTCCAATTTTTCCACATCCTCGCTAACACTTGGTACAATCAGCCTCTGGAATATATCAATTCTTGGTGTGTACTGGTATTTCATTGTGGTATTATTTTGCATTTTCCTAATGATAATGATGTTAAACATCTTTTTGTATGCTTATTAGCCATTCATATATCTTTGAATATCCATTCAAATCATTTTAAATTAGGCTGCCTTATTGTTGAGTTGCAAGAGTTCTTTATAGATCATGGATGCAAATCCTTTATCAGAAACGTGATTTGCAAATATTTTTTCCTAGGCTGTAGCTTATCATTTCATTTTCATAATAGCGTCCTTTGAAGAGCATACATTTTTATTTTGCTAAAGTCCAATTTATCAATTTTTTATTTTATGGATCATGCTTCTGGTGTCATATCTAAGAAATCTTTGTCTAATCTAAGGTCAAATGTTTTATCCTATGTTTTCTTTTAGAAATGTTATAGTTTGGGTTTTAATATTTAGATTTATGATCTATTTTGGTTAATTTTTGTGTATGGTGTGAAGTAAGTGTCTAAGTTTTTTTTTTTTCTCTGTATGGGGATATCTGATTGTTTCAGTACCATTCATTGGAGAGATTAGATTTACCAGAAAGATTAGATTCCCCTTTGAATTGCCTTGGAAACTCTGTAGAAAATCAATTGACCATAAATATAAGGGTTTAGTTCTGGATTTGCAATTCTATCTCATTGATCTATAAGTCTATCTTTATGCTAGTACCACACTGTCTGAGTTACTGTAGCTTTATAGTAAGTTTTGAAATCAGGTAGTACAAAATTTTCAGCTTTCTTCTTCTTTTACATAATTGTTTTGTCTATTCTAGGTACTTCACATTTCTATATAAATTTTGGGGAGAATGGCCATCTTAACAATTATCAGTAGTCCAATCCACATATATGGTATATTTCTCCATTTACTTCAATCTTCCTTAATTTCTCTCAGGAACTTTTGTAGTTTTCAGTATGCAGGGCTTGCATTTCTTTTGTTAAATTTATTCCCAAATATTTTATTATTTTGGATGATATTGTGAATGGAATTGTTTTCTGGATTTCATTTTTACATTGTTCATTGATAGTATATGGAAATACAATTGATTTTGGTATATTGATTTATGTCCTGCAAACTTGTTCACTTGCTTTTAGTTCTAGGGTTTTAAAAAATTTTTGTAGATTTCTTGTGATGTTCTAAATACAGGATCATGTCAATTGCAAAGAAAGACAGCACTACTTCTTCCTTTTTATCCTGAGTAATTTTAATTTCTTTTTCGTGCCTTATTGCAATGACTATAACCTCCACTACAGTGTTCAACAGGAGTGGTGAAAGCAGATATCCTTTTTTTGTTCTTAATCTTAGGGGAGAAGCATTCAATCTTTTACCATTAGGTAGGATGTTAGCTGTACATATTATTGTCCTTTATTAGTCTGAAGCAATTTCCTTCTATTCCCAGTTTGCTGAGAGTCCTTATCAAGAATGGGAGCTGGGAGCCAGCCCCGTGGCTAAGTGGTTAAGTTCGCATGCTCCACTTCAGCAGCCCAGGGTTTCGCTGGTTTGGATCCTGGGCGCGGACATGGTGCTGCTCATCAGGCCATGTTGAGGTGGTGGCATCCCACATGTCACAAGTAGAAGGACCCATGACTAAAATATACAACTATGTACTGGGGGGATTTGGGGAGAAAAAACAATTAAAAAAAAAAAGAATGGAAGTTGGATTTTGTGAAATGCTTTTTTCTCCATCTATTGAGATGATCATAAAACTTTTAGCTTTTATTCTAGTAATACAGTGAATTAAATCAATTTTCTAATATAAAACTAACCTTGCATTCCTGGAATAAATCCCATTTGATTGTGATGTACAATTGTTTTAATATTTTTATATTTTGCTGAATTGATTTGCTAATATTTAACTAGAATGTTGCATCGTGCTCATGACGGATATTGGTCTGTAATTTTGTTTTGTTTTTAATGTCACTGGCTTGCTTTGATATCAAGATAATACTAGCTTTATAATCAAATGAGTTAGGAAGTTTCCCTTGCTCTACTATTTTCTGAAAGAGACTGTGAAGGATCAGCATTATGTCTTCCTTAAACATTGATAGAATTCATCAATGAAGCCATCTGGGCCTGGACTTCTTGATGTGGGAAAATTTTAAATTACTAATTCATTGTCTCTACTTTTTATAGGTCAATACTGATCTTCTATCTTTTCTTGAGTCAGTTTTGGAAAATTTTTCTAGGAATTTGTCCTTTCCACCTAAGTTGCATAAAGTTGTTCATAATATTCTTTTATAGTCCTTTTAACAGTAGGGTCGGTAGTGACCCTACATTCATTTTGATTTTGCTAACTCAGGTCTTTGCTCTTTTTTCTTGATCAGCATGCCAGTTATCAATTTATTGCTTCTCAGGTCAAAATAAAAACTTCACTGCCTGCTCTGCAATAATGGAGCTGGACCCTGCAAGCATTTCTTCTTTGCCAGCTGGCATCATGTTAAGTTTTCTCAGTAGAGAGCATTGGAGGATCACTGGAAGAGGAAAAGGTTTCTTTTCCTGTTTCCAGTGTGCTCATTTAGGCAGGCTCCTGCAGCAGATGTGGACTCTGTAGATGAGGCTCCTGCAACTTAGGGCCTGACTCCAGCAACATACATTGTTTACTGCACAACACAGTTCTGGTAGCACATGGCTTCCGCAGCATCCAGTTCCAGCAGCTCCCAATGGCCAGTAGCACATGGCATCTCCCCATGGAAAGTTTCCTTGTTACCCCCTAGAGTAAGTTCACAGTGAAATGCCACTGGCTTGGCACCTCTCTGTGAATGGTTTACCGCCAACATTCCAGAGGACAATTTCACCGTTCCTCTGAGTTCTGATGTGCAGCCACAGCAAATTTCCATGCCATTCAGTAAAGTACAACTTAACTGTCTCCAGTGAGGTCTGGATTTCAGCCTTGAAGGGGACTGTCTAGCAGCTCTGTTTCTTCTTTGGGAGCTCGATCAGCTCTAGGAATTAGTGGATGTTCTTTAAATCTCCCATTTCTGTACTCTTTAGAGTTCTCTTTACTTCTTACTAGTCAATCCTCATCCCCAAGTTCAATCTTCTGTTTTAGTTAATAATTCTTTATATTAAACTTTTCCTGTTCAAATTACTATGTAGTCTCTGTCTCGTGGTTGGATCTTAATTAGTACAGTCATTCAAGAGAAAGTCTTATCCAGTTTAATGATCTTTTCAAACAAACAATATTTGGCTTCATTGATTTTTCTCTATTCTTTTTCTGGTTTCTAGTTCACTGATTTCTGCCCTGATTATTATTATTTCCTCCTTTGGGTTTGATTTTATTTTCTTTTTCTAGCTTCTTGAAGTAGAAGCTTAGGTTATTGACTTTAGATCTTTGTTCTTGTCTAATTATAAATTTAAAGCCATAAAAATTTCTTTATAAGCACTGCTTTAGCTGCATCCCATAAATTGCAATACGTTGTGTTTTAATTTTCATTCAGTTCAATATATTTTCTAATTTTCCTTAGGAGTTCTTCTTTGATGCAAGTGTTCTTTAGAAGTGTTGGTTAACTACCAAATACTTGTTACTGCCTGAATTAGTTTTCTATGGCTGCTGCCACAAAATACCACAAACTTGGTAGCTTAAAACAACAGAAATTTAAGAGCAACTTTAGGCTTGCAGTCATTGAAATTGTCCTTATTGTCACCCAGACATATGTGACACTGATCCCATTCTGTAATCCTAAAATGCTTGCAGAGCCACTTCTACACAGAGTGGTGCTGTACGGTCTTGAGGGCAGTGGCAAAACCACATTGGCAAAGAAGTTGATGCTGAACTGGACACAGGACAACCTCATAGAAACATTCAATTCTGCCTTCTATCTCAGCCACAAAGAACTCAACCACAGTGGGTCATGCACTTTGGCAGAGCTGGTTTCCAAGGACTGGCCCGAACTGCAGGATGTCATTTCACATATCCTAGCCCAAGCGCAGAAAATTCTGTTCACCACTGATGGTTTCAGTGAGCTGGGAATCCCTTCAGGGGCACTTCTCCATGATATATGAGGCAACTGGAAGAAGCAGAAGCTGGTGCCTCTCCTCTTGGATACTTTGCTGAAGAGAAAAATCTTACCCAAGG